TAAGTCCTACGCTCTGTTAAGATGTGTGAAGACACTCCAGGCATTCTCAAGCGCCAGCGACCTGCTTGCATATGCTGACAAATCGATTTCGGGTGAGATTATCACAGAAGTCTTCCTAGACTTCTGCGCACGCACAAGGCAAAAGGAGAGTGGAGCATACCTGAAGACTTTATCAGGTTAGTTTACAGAAAGACTCGTGTGACCAACGAACCTTTAATTCTCCAACCTGGCAGCCATATGCGGCTCACTCGACAACACGTTCAAAGCAGCAAGTAAGGCCACACTTACCGACAAGGATCGCCAGAAGTCTAGGGAGCTGAAAGGCGGGATATTGAGTGTTTTGAATGAGGACAATCAGATCATTTCATGAGTAAGTTTTGACAATGACTCACCTAAGCTTTTCACTGACATATTTGTTCCATATGTAGCGTTTTTGCCAGACGCACACGAACGCAGAGATAACTGAACTCCTTCAAGGTCTTAAGCACCGCCACAACATTCTAAATGTCCCCCAGCCAAAGATGATGGTCGCCGATAATTGCTGCCAAGTTCGAAATGCAGTGACCTCTGCAATGCCGGAGACGGATTCAAAACTCGATGTTTGACACTTTAGTGCGAGGTGAATGCCATGCATCTACTTTTACTTAGTTTCTACTTACTCAATGTGCACTTGAAGATACATCGCTGTCATGCTCCAATCGAGCAAAAGTCCTTATCGAGGTGCTGTCGCTGCTGACATCACAGGCGCCATTCTCAAGACACATGCCGAGAAAGGTCAGCCTGTGCAATACTGGGACCGAGCAGAGCAGGAACGGAGGCTTATGGTGGCATTCAGCAAATGGGCAGACAAAGGTGTTTGGTCAGCTGCAGCGCAGAAAGTAAGTTTCATTTTTCGCTAAGTACCACTGTAATCGATCGCTACTGACAATAATGACTCAGGTTCACCAAGAACAGTTGAAACATGTCCACAAAGGGTGCCTTGAGCGCAGCGTCCAAGGCATCAGAGCTGATGGGAGTCGCATTGAGGGATCCCACAAAGGGTGGAATTCCCTTCAGCGAGCACAGCCAAGCGGTGTGACAATGCTCACTGCCCTCGGCCATGATTTTGTCCTGCATCGCAACGTGTGAGTGGCTTTCAGCAGGCCCGAACTCATGCCATTCCTCAAGTTCACCAACAGTTCACATCACCTCCAACTCTGTGACTACATAGTGAGGCTTCACAACATGCTCCAGCAAAAAACTACTGACTCTCAGCTGCAGCTTCTTCCTGAGCTTGGTGACATCGACTCAGGCGAGACTTTTGGGTTAGTTATGTCAGATCATGTAGCAACATTCGGTGGTCTTTTGATCAAGGAGGAGAATGTTGAGAAGGGCCTACTTGACTTCTTTGATTCGTCTGTTGACCCCACCACAGGTGAGGAAGTCGACCTTGTGTTTCTTGCCAGTCGGAATGTCATCATCAACGAGTGGCAAATTGACCCCGCCCTTCTTACGCTCCCAGCTGAAACTTCAAGACCAATGGTAAGTAACAACACTTCCATTCAACCCCCCCATATCTCATTTTTTTCGCGCAGAAACCTCCAGCACCAAAGAGAAAGGCTGTCTGCATCTCGTTGGACTCGGACGATGAAGGGGATGCCAGCGGCGGCACCATCAAAAAACTATGAACCTTAGCATTGCCCAGCACAGAAGTCCCTAGCATGGCCCCAGGTACTGGACGACTCGATGCGTACTTTCCTTCTGTGCAAGACCATCAACGGTGCAGCACATGAAAGCTTCCTCCCAAATTCTCGCAGGATCGCCCAGTGGTTGCCAGCACTGCTATCACACCCGACCAAGGGGTATGTCCCATCACACCCGACCAACGCTACACACACAAACTTCCTCCCGAATTCTCACAGGATTGCCAGGTGATTCCTGAGGCTACCACAGAGGTATGTCCCATCACACCCGACCAACGTTACACACGCAAACTTCCTCCCTAATTCTCACAGGATTGCCCCAGCGCTGGCATCAGCAACACAATTACCCCCAGTGCTGGAGTCACCAGCAATCGCCCAGTGATTCCTGGGGCTACTGCAGAGGTATGTGCAATTACACCCAACCAACGTTACATGCGAAAACTTCCTCCTGAATTCTCACAGGATTGCCCCAGTGCTGGCATCAGCAACGCAGCTGGCATTAGCAATGCAATTACCCCCAGCGCTGGCATCAGCAACGCAATTACCCCCAGTGCTGGAGTCACCAGCGATCGCCCAGTGATTCCTGGGGCTACTGCAGAGGTATGTGCAATCACACCCGACCAACGTTACACGCGAAAACTTCCTCCCTAATTATCACAGGATTGCCCCAGCGCTGGCATTAGCAACGCAATTACCCCCAGCGCTGGAGTCACCAGCGATCGCCCAGTGATTCCTGGGGCTACTGCAAAGGTATGTGCAATCACACCCGACCAACGCTACATGCGAAAACTTCCTCCCGAATTCTTCACAGGATTGCCCAGTGCTTGGCAGCACTGGCATCAATAACTCGATGGCTATCGCGGCAGGCCAGACCCAGTCTCAGTGCCTGTTCTCCATTTCCACGGGTATCGATCCTCGCTCGCTCACCTTCCAAAATTCGGACGAGTTCTACTTATTTATGGAAATGTGGGCTGAGTTCAAATGGCTGTCATATCAAATGACTTCAAAGCGCTGGGTGCTGGCGACAGAAGAGTACAACCACCGTCTCATCAAGAAAAAGGGCCAGTCAGTCGTCCAGAAGAACCCACAAGCCCTCCTACGTGCGCTGGGTGACATCGAGCCGAAGCTGATGAGCAAAATCACCAAGAATGACTATACCTGTGAGTCCATTTGCAAACACCATCTCTCAACTACTTTTCTGACATTGGGTAAACAGCACGCAAAAACAGCGAGTCATTTTGGCGCCATCATTGTTCTGTCGTCCCACTTGTGAAGGAAGAACCAGGCAGAAAGGTCAGTCACTTGTGTCTGGTCGTTTGCACATTGTTCGCGCTGACCCATCAACCATCATTTTATTTCCAAGGCTCGAAAGGCACAGACATGCTCCCGCTGTCAAACAATTATGTATCCAGGACCCGAGAACTCGCCCCTCAACCACAAGAAGGGGTATTGTGCAGATGGTGTCAAGCAGTCCTCCAAGGCTGCCGGCGAGGAACTGCCTCCCTGGCCTCAGCCACGAGGAATCTTCTCTGAGGGCCAAACATTCCACCCTCACGTGTTCCTGTTGATGGTCCAGCGCGTCTATGAGCATGTCTTCATGCAGGGACCAGGAGAGACGGACCTGCTCGAGACCGAAGCATTTTCGAAGCTGCTGATTTTGCGCACCGAGGTTCACGAGTCGGATAACATGGTGCTTTTTCGACTGTTCAAGGGTTTCATCACTGACCCAACCACTCCCCGCGACCGGATTGTCTCTTGCAACGGTGAGGAATGGCTGAGGATTAACTACCTGCAGCAGTAAAGTTTTTTTTTCGGTGAGTCGCGCACAGATCTCTTGTCTCTCACCGGTTACCCTATTTTGACTGGCTCCCCTCCCAGCTCCCAATTCTCGCACTAACGAATTCCAAATATCCCCCCATTTAATTACCCGCTTCCATTTGTCCCATTCGTTCAATCTGTTCAATCTGTTCGTCCGTTTCGTCCGTTCATTCTGATCCGTTCGTTCCATTTGGTGTCCATTCGTTCTGTCCGTTCTGTTTGTCCCCACACAATGCCATTGTGGTCTCATTTGTTCATCGACTCACCGTGTTCCTTATTCGTGCAGCAGGCCCACTCACAACTTAAGATATTGAGAACTCCGCCGAAGACAAGATCGTAGGAGAACAGGATCAATGATATTATTCTGCCGAAGACAAGATCGTAGAGAACAAGATCAATGATTTTTGTTCGGAATGGGAACAGACACGGGGGCAACGCACGCTGCTTTGAGCTTTGAGCGTGTTAGATGTCACCCCCCACGCCATGTTCTGACTCTGTAAGTGCGGCAAATTCCGGCGTCACGTGACCTCCAACCTCACGTGCTTTTCAAACGGTCGTTCGGTCTTTGAAAAAACGGTCGACCGTTTGCGTGAGAACCCTTGCCATGTCGAAGCTGCCGCAAAGTGCGCTCACGACCAATCAGATAAATACATCGAGCCCTGGAGAGTCAGATCCTGTGCGTTTATAACGTACTACTGTACAAAATGAGTACTATCTTATGCTAAAGTTTCATCAAACGTAGGATCTTGTTGTTTTTTCTGAGGCCGAAGTCAGTAAATGGTGGGGAGTACACAGAAAAGAATGTGTTACATACCATGTTGTACCAGCGAGTAAATTCCACCGGCATTGCAGGCTCTGGAGACTCGAATGGTGGCTGTATATCAGACTCTGGTTCGGTCACGCTATCATCAACAGCTTCGACCAGTTGCCCAGTACTACTAACAAGTACTTGAGCAGAGCAGCACGTTTCTTAAATATGTGCTATTCAGCAACACGAACGAATATAACTGCGAAAAACTCACGAGTTCTTCAGCAGTTGGCTCCGACTCAGGTTCGGTCACACTATCATCCACCACTGGAGGACCTGCCTTAGCAGCGCTCAATAAAAACGATTGATATTCCTTGAAATTTATTCAGTGACATAAATCAATAGAACTAGGCAAGGACATACAACTTTCTGGTCCTTCAACCAATTGTTAAGCACTCCCGGTGTCTCGGTGTGAACATCGCTGGTGTCGGGACCCTCTACACTACCTGCTTGTGAGCTTAGCGGCTGGAGAGGCTTGCGGATAGATATTTCGATGGCCTGCAAAGAAAGTTAGTTAACATCAATTTAGTTGCACAAGGGACTCACTATAGGTCCTGGCGTTCTGCACTCAAAAGTGAATTTAAATGTTTTCACCCCCACAGGCAGCTCGAGCTTGATTGCATCGCGGGCTGCCATAGCGTAAGTACAAGCTGTAACGTGAGACTTGTATAAATTTTTGAAAAACTTACTTTGCTTCAAGCACAACCTAAACAGACGTCGAAAGGTCGAATTGGCGAGGCTGGATAGATGAGGAATAGCAAGTATTTGAAGACAATAAACGGGGTCGGAAAAGACGTGTTGACGAAGTTCGAAAAGCGTCTGTTTACATGTGTTGCTTCGGACCGAGCGAGCAAAATTTGCGATACGTTGGATTTATGTCTGATTATGAGCTAGGTACGTTTAGAGTCGTATTATACGCGCCGTCTCCCTCTGATTAGGCTCTGGCTAAAATCTCGTTTCCGCAGTGAGTGCTGTGTATAGTTGTCCGCGCGCGAAACAGTCCGTGCGAAGGTCCAGCACTGCCTTTTACAATGTCAGTCCTTGACTCCATCCATTGAACGTGGTCGCGTATGCTGGTCTGAGAGGAAACTGTTTGTGGTTGACTGTCCAGCTGCTCCGCGGGGAAAGAAGTGCTCACAATCATCTTATTCCGAGACAGACACAGGTTTCCGCTTTTATGAATAATCCCTGCTGACGAAAAAACAAAGGCACCGGCTCCGAGCGCAGTTGGGTCCTGTCACCTGTGCCTGTACAAGCCGTTCAACTTCGTAGCCCACGCCGTTCTCAGCATCCCATAGAAACGGCAACCTATAAATGATCTCCCCATAGATCCCACTTCGAACCAAACATAACGATGAACATATTTACCATCCCTGTATCCTCTCCATCAAGTCTCTGGACAACCTTACATGCGGGTGGCGCATTTAACGTCGCTTGTTCATTTGCTGCATTATGGGCTTTTGTCAAAGTCTTGAGGATGCTTCGCTGGCGAATGAAGACGACTCAACTGTTGGGTCCGCCTCGTACCAGCCTCGTATATGGCGTCTCGCGCGACCTCGCCTCATCTCACGATAGAGCTGCAATCTATGAACGTTGGGCGACGGAATATGGGGTAGTGTATATGATTCCGAGCGTCCTCGGGCAGACTAACGTCGTGCTGTGTGATCCGAAAGCTATCGCACATTTCTATGCTCGAGAGACGTGGACGTATGTGAAGACACCCCTTACGTTGGCGGTTCTGGATTCATCAGTATGTTGATTTCATCATCTTACCTCGTCTTTTTATATCTCTTGTTAGATCGGTAAAGGATTACTATGGTCTCAGGGAGAAACCCACAGGAGGTGCTGTTCAGCTCTTGTCCTTCCGCAAGTGACTAATTGACTTCCTGCGAATTAGGCAGCGGAAGGCCCTCACCCCAGCATTCAGTAATGCGGCGATTCGGAAACTCACATCGGTGTTTTATGACTCAGCATACAAGGTGAGGATTTGTGGTGCGAGTAATGTTGCATCTCTGAACTTGATACCATACGTTACAGGCCAAAGGACAATGGGATAATGTTATAGAATCGAGCAAGGATGACGATGCGGTCATCGAGGTCCAGAACTGGTGCGTAGCTTTTCTGACTTAGCAGGTGCCATTCCTAATTTAAACGATTCAAAGGATGAATCATATATCGTACGCGAAGATATTTTGTCGTTGACGCTTCGAACTGACGGAACATCATGCATCAGTTTGGACACAGTTGGCATTGCTGGTTTCTCCCATGATTTTGGTTCGCTCGATGGAAAGCGCGTCAGCGTGGCCGAAGCGTTTGATACCCTCGGAAGCAACCAACCTTCAGCAGTGGACACAGCTGTTTTCCTGCTTGCATCAGTATTTCCTGTCATCCTCAAGATCCCCAACAAGCGGCAGAATCTGTTCAAGAAACTTGGCATAACCATGGAAAAAATATCTAACGAATTATTGATTCGCAGCCGCCGGGAGAAGGACGCGAATATGAGTCAGGGAGGCGAGGAGAATTCCCTCATCGGATTATTGAGTATGCTTTTCGAAATATTAATCATAGTTTTTCGATTAATGTGGTGATCAGTTAAATCTGAAGGTCAGGATGCCGAACTTCATATGTCGGCGGAGGAAGTAGTGGCTCAGGTCCGTGGCGACGACGTATCACAGCCATGATTTGCGAGCTCACATCCCGCAGATGAAGGTCTTGCTTCTTGCGGGTTATGAGACGACGTCCAGTGAGCCGGTTTCTTGTCCATTGCTATCACACTTGCTGACTCTTCGTCTACAGCCAGTCTTACGGTGAGTTTATTGCATAATTACTTCTGGGCATTTTATTCATGCGTTGATCAGTGGGTGCTGATCGAGCTATCACGACACCCCAATGTCCAAACCAGGCTCAGAGAGGAACTGCTTGCCTTTGGCCCTGATCCAACATATGACCAATTAAAGGCCAACCTCCCGTACCTGGATGCGGTTGTGCATGAAACTCTACGACTTCATCCTCCAGTGGGGGAATCCACTCGTCTTGTGAGTGTGTATGTCTACATGTGAATAGACACGACAATTTTAAGTCCACAGGCAGCAACAGATGATGTTATTCCCTTGAGCGAACCTGTGCGCACGGCGTCCGGCAACATGACAGACAATATATCTATAGCAAAAGGGACATTGATCACGATATCAATCGTGGCAATCAATCGGTCTTCGGCCATCTGGGGACCTGACGCAAAGGAATTCAAGCCTGACCGTTGGCTGACTGAAGACGGGATCAGTGGGAAGGCCAAGGAAGTCCAAGGTCATAGGCATCTGCTGACATTTGTTGATGGCCCTAGGACGTGTCTCGGAAAAGATTTTGCGATCGTGGAATTCAAGGTGAGGGATGCGGATCAGCCAGTTTGGACGTTATTCACTGTGATACAGACGGTTTTATCGGTTTTGGTGAAGAACTTCGTGTTTGAGATGCGAGATGGACCAGATACTCCAGTCGAAATTGTGAGGGGAGTTTTATCCCGTCCACGGGTTGTTGGAGAGGATGGTACTGGAGTGCCTTTGAGAGTCCGTCGGTATGAATGATCGGTTGCATTGTACTAGCAAGTTTACTCTGTTTTCCGTCACTTATCCCCTACTGGAACCGTCGTATTGAGATCAGAAGAGAAATGTAATATGGGCAACGTCTAGCTCTGGATATGCGATGAATTTCAAGGCTGGTGACATGAAATATCAATTTGATCACTTTGCTTGGAAATTTTGCCGGTCATAGTACCCATACCTAGGCACCTACCACTCAGGCTGTAACACAGAAACTTTGTACCAAATACTTGGCATACAAAACAGTACCTTCTCTCGAGCCGATTCCCAATATGATAGAATACATTCACTGCTCGTGTGCGAGTGGATGGTTCAAACGTTCAGACGCCAAGTTCAAGTTGAGCTATTATTTAGCAACGTCCCACGCTTCACAAAAATCGATTGTCAATACAAACGTCCAGGATGTTGCAAAGCAATCACGCGACTATGGTGTGGTATTGAGACAGGTAACTGTGCATCGTACTGACAAGGTATAGAAGACAATAAACACCGACATCAAGGCCAACGGTCTTTCGCCGGAAGTTAAAATGCATATTCTATCATTCACTCCCGCTTATTCAGGTAAGCAGGTCCAAGTAGTGCTCAGAATCTTATTCCGAGTCAGACACAGGTTTCGGCTTCTATGGATAATCCCTGCTGACGAAAAACAACGGCTCCGGCTCCGAGCGCAGTTGGGCATAGTCCTGTGCCTATACAAGTCATTCAACTTCGTAGCCCACGCCGTTATCAGCATCCATAGAAACGGCAACCTATAAATGATCTCCCAATAGATCCAACTTCGAATCAAACATAACGATGAACCTATTTACCATATTTGTACCCTCTCCATCAAGTCTCTGGACAACCATACGTCCGGGTGGCGCATTTAACATTGCTTGTTCATTTGCTGCATTATGGGCCCTTATCAAAGTGTCAAGGATGCTTCGCTGGCGGGTGAAGACGACTCAACTGTTGGGTCCGACTCGTACCAGCCTCGTATATGGCGTCTCGCGCGACCTCATCTCATCTCACGATAGAGCTGCAATCTATGAACGTTGGGCGACGGAATATGGGGTAGTGTATATGATTCCAAGCGTGCTCGGGCAGACTAATGTCGTGCTGTGTGATCCGAAAGCTATCGCACATTTCTACGCTCGAGAGACTTGGACGTATGTGAAGACACCCCTTACGTTGGCGTTTCTGGAGTCATCAGTATGTAACCATCATCATCTTACATCGTCTTTTTTATATCTCTTGTTAGACCGGTAAAGGATTACTATGGTCTCAGGGAGAAACCCACAGGAGGTGCTGTTCAGCTCTTGTCCTTCCGCAAGTGACTAATTGACTTCCCGCGAATTAGGCAGCGGAAGGCCCTCACGCCAGCGTTCAGTAATGCGGCGATTCGGAAGCTCACATCAGTGTTCTATGACTCAGCATACAAGGTGAGGATTTGTGGTGCGAGTAATGTTTCATCTCTGAGCTTGATACCACACCTTACAGGCCAAAGGACAATGGGATAATGTTATAGAATCGAGCAAAGATGACGAGGTGGTCATCGAGGTCCAGAACTGGTGCGTAGCTTTTCTGACTTAGCAAGTGTCATTTCTAATCGAAACGATTCAAAGGATGAATCATATATCGTACGCAAAAATATTTTGTCACTGACGCCTCGAACTGATGGAACATCAGTTTGGACACGGTTGGCATTGCTGGTTTCTCCCATGATTTTGGTTCGCTCGATGGAAAGCGCGTCAGCGTGGCCGAAGCGTTTGATACCCTCGGAAACAACCCACCTTCAGCAGTGGGCAGAGCTGTTTTCCTGCTTGCATCAGTATTTCCTATCATTCTCAAGATCCCCAACAAGCGGCAGAATCTGTTCAAGAAACTTGGCATAACCATGGAAAAAATATCTAACGAGTTATTGATTCGCAGCCGCCGGGAGAAGGACGCGAATATGAGTCAGGGAGGCGAGGAGAATTCCCTCATCGGATTGTTGAGTATGTTTTTCGAAATATTGATCGTAGGTTTTTGATTAATGTGGCGATCAGTTAAATCTGAAGATCAGGATGCCGAGCTTCATATGTCGGCGGAGGAAGTAGTGGCTCAGGTCCGTGGCGACGACGTATCACAGCCATGATTTGCAAGCTGACATCCCGCAGATGAAGGTCTTGCTTCTCGCGGGTTATGAGACGACGTCCAGTGAGTCGGTTTCTTGTCCGTTGCTATCACACTTGCTGACTCTTCGTCTACAGTCAGTCTTACGGTGAGTTTATTGCATAATTACTTCTGGGCACTTTATTCATACGTTTATCAGTGGGTGCTGATCGAGCTATCACGACACTCCGATGTTCAAACCACGCTCAGAGAGGAACTGCTTGCCTTTGGCCCTGATCCGACATATGACCAATTAAAGGCCAACCTCCCGTACCTGGATGCGGTTGTCCATGAAACCCTACGACTTCATCCTCCAGTGCCAGAATCCACTCGTCTTGTGAGTGTATATGTCTACATGTGAATAGACACGACAACTTTAAGTCCACAGGCAGCAGCAGATGACATCATTCCCTTGAGCGAACCTGTGCGCACGGTGTCTGGCAACATGACGGATAGTATATCTATAGCGAAAGGGACATTGATCACGATATCAATGGAGGCAATCAATCGGTCTTCGACTATCTGGGGCCCTCACGCAAAGGAATTCAAGCCTGACCGTTGGTTGACTGAAGACGGGATCGGTGGGAAGGCCAAGGAAGTCCAAGGTCATAGGCATCTGCTGACATTTGTTGATGGCCCTAGGACGTGTCTTGGAAAAGATTTTGCGGTCATAGAATTTAAGGTGAGTGATGCGGATTAGCCAGTTTGAACCTTACTCATCGTGATACAGACGGTTTTATCGGTTCTGGTGAAGAACTTCGTGTTTGAGATGCGGGATGGACCAGATACCCCAGTCGAAATTGTGTGGGGAGTTTTACCCCGTCCACGGGTTGTTGGAGAGGATGGTACTGGAGTGCCTTTGAGAGTTCGTCGGTATGAGTGATCAGTTGCGTTGTACTAGTAAGTTTACTCTGTTTTTCGTCACTTATCCCCTACTGGAACCGTCGTATTGAAATCATAAAGAGGAATGTAATGTGTGCAACGCCTAGCTCTGGATATGCGATGAATTTCAAGGCTGGTGACATGAAATATTAATTTGATCACTTTGCTTGTACCCATACCTAGACACCTGCCACTCGGGCTGTAACACAGGAATTTTGTACTGAATACTTGGAATACGAAGTATTACCTTCCCTCGAGCTGATTCCCAATATGATAGAATACCGCGCACTTGATCGTTTGCGAGTGGACAGTTCAGACCCCAAGTTCAAGCTACTTAGTAACGCCCCACGCTTCATAAAGATCTATTGTCGACACAGCCGTCCAGTATCTTTGGCAGTTGCAAAGTAATCACGCGACTATGGTGTGGTATTGAGAAAGGTAACTGCGTATCGTACTGACAAGGTATTGAAGACAATAAGCACCGACATCAAGGCCAACGGTCTTTCGCCCGAAGTCGAAATGTATGCAAGTCCCGAGATAAAAGCTTGGAATCGCATGCAGACACACACCGTTAATGTGTAAAGAATTTCTCAGACCTACATGCTGGTGATCACTGAGGCCTAAAATACAAATATTTCGTTTAATTTGATACCGCGGACGGCACAGGTCATCGCCAGCTCACGAACTTCCTTCTGTTCAGTCATGGTCGGAATCCAAGGCAACAAGGTCAATAACCCGGGCCCACAGTACATATCCAGCGACCGTAACGAGGGCTGCCAACCCGACTCCAGCCGGGCCTGGACATTACGTGCGACAGCGTTGGAGAACGCGAATGTCTCCAATGATGATTGCAAATTGAGCAAAGGTTCTGTTTTGAAACTCTGTCCGTCGATGCGAAGGCTTCGCAGTCTCGGCAACCCATATAGTGCTTTGATAGCACCCAAGTCGCTCCTTACTATCATATCAAACAGCTGTTTGATGTGGAGCTTCTTCACAAAGTCTCCAATGACCTCGATCAAATGGCACAAGCCTGAGCCTACTTCCTGCACCTCCAAGGACTCGATGGTTTGAGAACTGTGATGAGAATAGCCATTTGCACAGGCTGGGAGATAACTCTGTCTGAGATATCGATATGTTTGAAAGCTTGAAGGTAGGCGGCGAAAATGAATGTCCGAGGGCATCGCCATCACCATAGCTCTGGTGCATCTCGAAGAACTCGAGATTGAATAGCTGAACTAAGAGAGGGGCCAGGAGTTGTAAGTCCTGCCCAGATACTTTGAGCCCCGTCAAAAATGGGTACTTGTGGGGAACCCTTGTGTTGGTGAAGCGCAGGGTGCTGTGATCTCCTGTCAGATAGATCAACTTCGGGCAGCGCACAACAATCGTTCCAGCGAGTTTTGAAAATTCCCTCAGCTCCATTTCGTCAGGCCTGGGAGTTGAAAACCGAGGGCTGAAATAGAGGGCGCGAGCAGGGCAAATGCCATCAAAGCGCTCGCTGAACACCGTGCGCAGAAGCAGGCGAAGAGATTTGGCCTGAGTCAGTGGGATACAACGATAAAGAATTTCCCTCGCGACCTCACACCAGGCTTTTGATACACGACAGCACCTGAGCAAGACATTCATCATTTCTTTACAGGCGCTAGGGCAAGTCCATTATGTCACTAGCGGTTGTAAAATCAAGATGTGAAACAGGATTTCGGCTGGTAAATGCAGCGAAGAAGCTATGGGATCCTGTCGATGGATTTTGGCAAGTGAAAGTTCACCGCTCTTCAGCTTCATGATCTGTCCACGCGGTCGACTGGAGAGGATTATTATAAGTACGACCGATATAATAAATAAATAACAACTTGCAAGATTATTTGTAATAATAAATAATTTCACCGTTTACTATTCACCCATGGTGGCTCGCCAATTTATTGCTGAAACAGAGCGCCTCCCAGATCACGCCCATGTGTTGCTCATAACAACTGGCAGCGTAGCATCTATCAAAGCTCCCCTCATTGTCTCAGCGCTTCTTCAAGTCTGTCCCCGTCCTTGGAATCCTGCTCTTGCTCATGTTGTGTGCAACGTAGTACCAAAATGTCAGAGTAGAAGTGGTTGCGACCAAGGAGTCGCTCGCATTTTATGACCCTGCAGATGTCGTCAATGCAGGCGCCCGTGTGTGGACCGATGAGGACGAGTGGTCGGTGAATCCACGCGCTTTCCAGAAGAGCTTAGCCGTCTTAACGTCCATGGCAGGGGTCGTACAAGATTGGAGATCCGATCCTGCATATCGAGTTGAGGAGGTGGGCTGATATTGTGCTTGTCGCTCCCTGCTCGGCGAACACGCTCTCAAAGATTGCACACGGACTCTGCGACAATCTCGCGGTATGTTTCCCAGCGCATTCATATCGTACTTGATGGCAAACCTCTTGCTTAGACCTCTCTGCTTCGCGCGCTGGCACCTACGACACCGACTTACGTATTCCCGGCGATGAATACGCTCATGTACGAGCATCCGCTCACGGCAGAACATTTACACGTCGTCCGGGATGTCGTGCGCTACCAAGTTGTCGGGCCAATCGGAAAAAATCTTGCGTGTGGGGACGTCGGTATGTGATCTTTTATTTCTTGCTATTGTAGATAAACTGGCTCTTTTTCGAAGGACTCGGTGCTATGACGGAATGGCGTGATATCGTGAAGATAGTGGTGGATCAAATGAAACTCGTTTCCAAAGACAACAAATCATAAAACTCTGTATTCTATGTCTAATATTGGTCTAATCTATGAGTACATATTCCTTCTTCTTCGCGAATACATGTATATGTGCTAGTCCAGGAACGCTTTGTAGCCTCTGAAAATGCTCAGCGTCTGATACAGCGTAGCCAAAGGCTCGTTCACTCACTGGGGGGTTGACAAACCATGCAGTCTCCCATTCCCTCTCCACCCACCTTCGTTTCACAAAACCATCTATTTCTCTTCCAGCATTCCTCACCATCTCTTCGATCTCTGGACTGCCCCTGGGGCTGCGAACTAATTTGTCCATTGTGATTCCCCACTCCGCTAGGGCAGGCAAACATTCTGGTAGGGTGGACGGTGAGGGTGGAAGCTCGTCGTTACCTGTAAACCCACACAGCCCATCTTGTTGAACCCGTGTGTCGACTTCTGGTGGGATGAGATCTGGATGGAAGATAGGTACTCGCGACCAGATGAGTGTATGTTCGATCTCGATAGGGACGGAGTAAGGCCAGGAGTTCTGAATGATACTGATGAACTTTGAGTCGAACGGGATATCAGCTTTGAAATATTCGGGTTTGTCTGGGAGGGGCTGATTAGATTTGGATGGTGAGATGGATACGTCCTTGAGTCTGGTATCACTATCGAGTGCTGAGGGTAAGAGCGAAAGGGTATCTGGCTTCCCCCATTGGAGACGATGGTTGATAAGGTAGTTCTCTTTAGACTGTTGAGCGAATTCTATATGCTGACTCTACATTACCCACCAATTGAGCCGTACTCTTTTACAATCTCTGGAGACCACGCATCATATCTTTCTTGTAGCGCCTTGTCACGCTTTAGTAGCCCAAGATCCCTTTTGTGACGTTGCAGAGTCAGTGTCGTCTGTCTTGTTGATACTGGCGGTGAAATACCAGTACCCAGAATTCACGAAGGTCTTGAGCTGGTGCCATGTGAACTTGGCTGGATAGTACGCGAGCAATTCTTCCCTTGTCGGAGGACCTGTTCGCAGGGAAACTTGTATGATTTTTTGGTGGGAAACATTATCTGGTGTATCTAAGGGCGGCTCTATGGTCATGGTCGTTGATGGGTAAATACCTTAGGTAATTTGTTGATCATTTGTTTACCGTTGTCCGTGGGGTTTCTTCTACACCTCCCGCTCAAATACCCATGGCCTTGTCACGGTGCGAACCTTCCTGCCAAGATGGATCCGGAGCACCGTGTATCTGATGCTGACCCTGATATGATGACGGTTATCGCAGTAATTACACCTCCGATGTATACAACAGTCAGATATGATGACGGTTGTCGCAGTTAATTACACCTCCGGTGTATGCAACAGTGACCAGTCAGTTTCAATTCCTCGGGCACAATGGAATTCAGCACGTGTATATGTCCTTCAACTGCGGCCCTGCCTAATTATATCATATTTAGACTATCAAGCTGACGCGAGTTCTGGGCGCCGGTGACTGGTGAGTTTCGTCAAAGACATGCCGCCATGTACCGCAGAATTGGCTATAAACTTGGATCTGATGAGACATTGAATTCATCACTACAATGAAGGCCTCTATCGCTATACCTGACTCTCCATCAAGTCTCTGGTTAACCGTCCGTTCGGTTGGCGCATTCAATGTCGCTTGTTCATTTGCAGCACTGTGGGCTTTCGTCAAAGTAATAAGGGTACTTCGCTGGCGACTCAGGACCACTCAACTCCGTGGTCCACCTCGTACCAGCCTCGTATATGGTGTTTCGAACGACCTCGTCTCATCTAAAGACAGTGCTACAATGTATGAACATTGGGCTCAGGAATATGGGGTAGCATACATGATTCCCTCAGTCCTCGGACAGACCAGAATCGTTCTAAGTGACCCAAGAGCCATCGCACATTTTTATGCTCGAGAATCATGGACCTATGTACAGACGCCCCTGTCTCTGACATTGATAGAGAACCTGGTATGTTAATGTCCTCTTCTCATATCGTCTATTGCATATCTCTTGGCAGGTTGGCAGAGGGGTACTATGGTCTCAGGGGGAGAGTCACAGGAGGTGCTGTCTATATCTTGTCCTCGCGCCAGAAACTGGTCAACTAAAATATTGCGAATTAGGCAGCGGAAGGCCCTTACTCCGGCGTTTAGTAATGCAGCTATTCGAAAACTCACATCAGTATTTTATGATTCAGCATATAAGGTATAATGATTTGCAATCTAAGAAATTTGATACATCTGATCTTCAGCTCTACAGGTAAAGAGTGTGTGGGATACCGATCTACAATCGAGCAAAGATGGGAATGCAGTGATTGAAGTTCAAAACTGGTGCGTAGCTTTTGAGCATACATACCTTGCACTTCTCATCAGAACGACTTCAAGGATGAATCATATTTCGTAAGGAATGGATATTTTCCATGCAAGCTTCAAAAGTGACGCAGTAGCAGTTTGGATACGATTGGCATTGCTGGTTTCTCCCATGATTTTGGCTCACTCGACGGAAAGCATGCCAGCGTTACGGAAGTCTTTGATACTTTCGGAAACAAGCCAAAGGTCTCAGCACTCAACAAAGTTCTTTTCCTGCTCGCGTCGGCGTTTCCTATCGTTACCAAGATTCCTAATAGCCGGGTAAAACTGACCAAGAAACTCAACGCCACCATGGGTGAAATATCCAATGACTTGTTGGTTCGCAGTCGCCGGGAGAAACAGGTAGAAGAAGAAAAATCCATCATCGGACTGCTGAGTACGCTCTCTAAGAGATTCATCGTGGTTCCTTGACTGACGCAACGATCACAGTCAAAGCTGAAAATCAGGATGCCGAGCTCCGTATGTCCGAGGACGAAGTATTGGCTCAGGTGTGTGAAGACAATTTATCACAGCCAATATTTGCAAGCTGATATCCTACAGATGAAGGTCTTACTTCTCGCGGGTTACGAAACGACGTCGAGTGAGTTGATTTCTTGTCCGCTGCCATTATACTAGCTGACTCTTCATTGGTAGTCAGTCTTACAGTAGGTCTAGTGTCCAATAACCTCTATGCTCGATATTCACGTAGTGATTAGTGGGCGCTGATCGAGTTATCGCGACACCCCGATGTTCAAACCAGACTCAGAGAGGAACTGCTTACATTTGGTGCTGATCCGACATATGACCAATTAAAGGCTAACCTTCCATATTTGGATGCGGTTGTCCATGAAATTCTACGACTCCATCCTCCGGTAGTTGAGTTCAGTCGTGTTGTGAGTACACTTATCTGTCTGTCCATAGAGACTCTGAAAGTAGATCTACAGGCACGCGTAGATGACGTGATTCCCCTGAGTGAACCTGTGTGCACGGGGTCCGGGAAAATGACGGACAGTATATCTATAGCGAAGGGATCCTTGTTCGTCATCCCAATCGAGGCAATCAATCGCTCTTTGGCCATCTGGGGACCTGACGCAAAAGAATTCAAGCCTGACCGTTGGCTGACCGAGGATGGTATTACTGGGAAGGCCAAGGAAGTCCAAGGTCATAGGCATCTGCTGACATTCGTCGACGGCCCGAGGACGTGTCTTGGAAAAGATTTTGCGCTTGCGGAATTCAAGGTGAGTGATACGAATCAGCCAGTTGGACATGACTCACTGCGATATAGGCGGTTTTATCGGTTCTGGTGAAGAACTTTGTGTATGAAATGCGGGATGGACCAGATACTCAGGTCGAGATTGCGAGGGGAATTTTGCCTCGTCCACGGGTTGTTGGAGAGGACAGTATTGGAGTGCCTTTGAGAGTTCGTCGGTATGAGTAATTGGTTGGACCACTGGCGGGTTCAGATATTTTGCGGCCTGAGATCTTTATTCAAGGGGGACATTTTTTATGATGTGGACTTTGTATAGCTATGTATCATGCTCAGGCGGTTAGAGTGCAAGATGAGTTTTGGTTTACTACCATACACTAGCAGTTGTGGAATCTTGTAAGGTAACGGTTTATAGTAATCTACTATTCTGCAGAACTCATAAAATAAACTACACTTCGAACACAATAAAATCCCGGTAGTGATTGTACAATGGTCGTAATCAATTTAACACGCTCCAGGCTGCAGGACCCAGGTTCTACTGAAATTTCTATCGTCTGATAGCAATAACAATTCTGCCAGATCACTCAAAATCGTGCTCATAAGTATACGAAGGGTAATGATAGAAGCGAAACATCGTCTCCCCCATCATATCCAGCTACCGCGACTCCGGCACAAGAATAGTCCTCCACAGGCAAACCATAACAGAAGTAAAACAAAAATTCCTTTCGTATTTGATGGCAAATGTCCTCCAGCTGTCATGACATGTCACTTCCAGTGCGACTAAGTTAGCTAAGCCTTTTACTGACAGTTTATTTACCAAAAGCCTTTGATCCAAACAAACCAATATATTTTATTATTAGACTTTCTCCCAGTAACCTAACTTTACGTGTACTACTGATATCCAACATGAGAACAGCCCGTGGAGGTGCCAAGGGCCGCGCGCGGGGGAAACCACATGCTCATGGAAGAGTGAACGCTTCTCTTCAAGTCAGAGATCCAAAACCCACGCCTCACATCCAAATGGAACACATTGCATCAGTTAGCCGGAGTAGCGGGCTCGAGCAAGGCGGGGATGCGTGAGACCAAATCCCTCGACTCATTCTTAGAGCTTATCTTTATTAGGTGTTAGCTTGAAGGATTCCAAGGTGCAAGAACAGTACAGAGTGTTCGTGGGTGAGAAGGTGGGTGTGCACTGTGCTTGATGGCATTCGGGATGAGGCATCATGAAGATCACAGCTACACAAGTTCTGGACAGAGAAGCAGACGAAGGATGGGCAGGAGAACATCTTAATTTTGTTTCGTGAGTCCTGCGTTCCTTCTTGACCAAGAATATATTCCAATTTCTCCACAGGAAAGCTTAGAGAAGGAATCTTCGCGTCCAAGCGGAGTGATGCCTTTGCAATCGAAGGTATGTTAACTTGATCTTGCATTAATTTTCTCATCGTTTATACATCCTGCAGTGTACGAAACCTCACTTTGCCTCTCCTCGCTATTCGACTCCCCAATCCAGACATCTTCTATTCTCTCTCACCTCCTGCCCGAACTCTACACCTCTGCATCAATCCAGCCTCCAATCAGCTCGGTGCTGATATTGCTTCTTCACCACTTAATCGCAGGATATCCATCACAAAAGACCTACTTTGAACATCTTTCGTATCTCTCGCCCAACGTGCTCGATAGGACATCAGAAGCATATTTATGGATATCAAATCTAGCAACAAGCCTCCGCACCCTTAACCACATCAAGGTTGAAGCACTTTCACGGCACGATGCATACAGGCAGTTCCTTTCTGTTTCCAAATCATCTGACGAAACAAATGATGAACTGGTCCGTCTATCACAAGATGCAGTGCACGCGCTGGTGGAACGGCTGAGAAGCAAGGCAAGGGATAAGGCGTGGATGGTGCTGCGCAGTGCATACAGGGAGCTATCAGCTTCAGAAGAGACTCAGACTTGGATGGCCAAATGCTTACTGCTTTCAACCGAGCAGACGCCTGGATCAGGTCTTTCTTTACAGGAATGGATGGATGGGCGATGCCGAGACGGTCACCTTCGGCCGAAGGAAGGGGCAGTAGGAAGATGGATTGTCTGCAAGGTCAGATGACCGCTACTGCTTATATTGATGTTAATTTAGTGTACGATAGAATGGTTATGATAACTTGTGATCGTATCTAAGTTTCAACCGAGATCCATCTTGCCCATGGGCGACTGGTTCTATAGCCTTATCGGAGGCTGGATTCTCCTCTGATGTTTATTCGACCTTCTTCTGCATCTTCTTCCTGAAGAACGAGCTTGCCTTCGTGTGCTGCGTGCCGTTCGTTTGGGGAAGGTCACCTCCAGTGGTCTGCGTTGTATGGGAAGTGATTGAATAGTAAGCCTCATCACTTTCTAGATCTGGAAGGAAGCCTCTGATACATCATAGTCTGTATGCATCGGCACAGTGGTCACCGTACATCAGCATAATGAAGAGGAAACGAACACATCTGTCTAGGGTTCTCCTCCTACCCCCAACAACCATTGTCAATTACGTGAACAATCGACGGAGCCGTGCGCGATATGAGGGAAACACTTCGCTCTATGGCCAAGTTAGAGAGTTGCTTCGCCCGGAAACGGAGATAATCGTGGAGCTTGTATTCGTGCAAAAACGGTAAAGTGTGTTGTGATAGGTGAGAAAGTGGGTCTAATACATCATGACTCTTCTTCCATATCAGCGTACTGACGTGGCCTGGAATAGGCTGTATAGGCTTCCTTCTTTTGCTCCGTGACAGCCAACGTCAGGACTCGTCACTCCCTCATGTGCCTTTTGCGCCCACTCAACCCTATTTTTGGTACTGCTTCGTGTTCCGCCGCCTCTCCTCACTGCCTCAGGTAAATTGCGTAGCAACCTGATATTTGTTTCCTACTCTCGGCGATCGCAAAGTACTGGGGTATTACACGGTACCGATACTATCAAGCTCTTGGGCGCGGCTCCCGGCTTTGTCGACACTGGTTGTACTTGGCTTCTCTTTGCCACCAGTGGGCACGCACGTCCATTGTGATATTGGACCCTCACGGAGTGTGCAGAGGCTTTCCAGACGCACAAAGAGAAAAAATCTGGTCCTTACGATGAGTGAGTTTAGCTTAATGAATCGCTGACGTTCTGTTGATTTATGTGGATTAGCACCATGGAGATACAATGCGAAAACCTCTAAAGTTTAAATTTCGAGATCGGCAGTGTAAAGTGACAGCTCTTGCATGACGAACCTTTGATTAAGATTTAATAGACCATCTATGAGTTTATCTGTAACACTCAAATGTGGCAGCGTGAACTAAATACCCTTTAAGGTTGCTTTAAGGCAAGATTTATCTCATTGTACAGAACCTTGGTACATCGACATCCATGGGGAATTGGTTGGACTTGGATCCTCAGTACGTCTCAAACATGTTGCTGCATCGCTTATGCTGGTACTGAGCGATTCACTAGACCTAATCTTGTTCATAAAATTTGATTTTTGCTTATCAATTTTCAATTAGTAGGACAAATGGGCATAGACTTATTTAAATTGTACACGAACTACGCGTAGGTGTGACCGAAATGCGCAGCCGCATACGAGGAGGTCATGTATTTGAAATCATGATACGACATTGCAGCCACAAGTGACTTTCGCTAATGCGGAACCTTTGGAGGGCATTTGGATCTTTGGCAAGTTCACAGGAATGGGTCATGTCTGGTGCCGTGCACACGAACGTCCTTGAAGTATTTAGTCTTGTAACCAGTACTTGAGCTTCAGTAGTCACGTACTGCCGAAGATCACATTAATGCGGTTAGTAGCGACTATAGTACTATACGTAGTAGGTGACAAACACACCTACGAACAGTGCCCTGGCAGGCCGCCGTGCCACTGCTTGTTGAACCGCCTCCGCTCTTCGTGTCATCATATACCTGGGACTACCACTTTTTTGCATTGATAAATACCCTTAACTGTTGTGTCTGAAGTCAGGCACGCTACTACGACGAAAGTCCGTGGATAGTTTCCAGCCATTCGTTTCACATGTTACGGCCTCAGCCTTTACTCTCCTTCGAGGTAGATACCTCTGGACAAGACACTTCCCTCAAACACGATGATTTTGATTCAGAGGTCCGGAGAACTTGGTATCATTACCTACCGCTGTGTTGTACGTCCTCGCACTCCATGGTTTCTTTCGTTGACGCACTCAAAACATCTCCAGTGCTACTTTTCCTCATGGTAGCTCCCTATCCTTCGTTGCTCATTGTACTCGTAAACCACTATCTTCTCACATTGAACGAGCCCATTGCCTTCATTGTTCATTTTTTGATCACTTTCACCCTCGAATTCCTCGCCTTTGCCTCCCTGATGGTTTGCGTAGTTCGTGATCCCGGTCCAGTATACATGGACGCTTCCGACCACGATCCTGTCCATCAACCTGAAGATATGGGCCTCGCAGAAGCTTTGATGACCATGGAGAATACCGACGACGACTGCAGTCCTGACAAGTTCTGTCGGAAATGTTGGGTACCTAAACCGGAGCGTGCGCACCATTGCAGCGTATGTGGCCGCTGTGTTTTGAAGATGGGTGAGTCTATACACTTCAGGCAAATACGCTACAGGCTTACCATCCTAGATCATCACTGTCCTTGGCTCGGAGCTAAATGTATCGTAAGTGATAGAGTAAACCTGCGGTATGCCTTTATAAAGTCTCACTTGCAGGGACATAGAACATACCCAGCATTCGTTCACTTCTTGACTTGCATCACTGCCTTCTCCGCATACGTCGCTACTATATCTATATCTGCAGTCTGGTGGTCTTTCGATAACCCACTTCTGGTTCCGGTAAGGAGTTTTGGATGCGCTTACTGAATTTATGAGAACTCATATGGCTGTCCACTGGCAGGATGAGTCTACCCCCGTTCATGAATTGTTACTCGCCACTGCTGGCGTGATTTTTACTCTGGTTGTTGGTTCCTTCTTGGTATACCATGTTTACCTCATCACGTAAGTCAAACGTATGACTTTTATGCTCGTGCGCTAATCACAAAGTAGTACTAACCAGACTACTGTTGAAGCCCTGTCACCATTCTTATTATTGAGATATATTCCTCCGTTACCGGTGTCCATGAAGTTGTCTGAACCTCCAATGGAGGAAGAGCTATCATACAATCAACGTAGAGTGGTCCGTGATGCACATAGGTTCGTGCGCATGTATGACGTCGGGTGGCGAAGAAACTGGGCGCAAGTTTTCGGATGGAGCAAGCCGCGAGGGTGGCTTTATCTTCTTCTCATTGGAGGCTCTGTGTGAGTCGTTTTTATGCACCACCTTTCTTTGGCAAACTCAACGAGTGGATCCATGCAGGAATGGTGATGGGCGGTCATTTCCACACAATCCACGCTCACAAGACATGCTATCCCAGCTCGCGGCCCGCCTCGAAAAAGAAGCTTGAAATAGAATTGCTGGGTGACACGGTATATCTCACTTTATCAAGTATGCGGAGAGGTAAGCCCGTTGGTGTTGCCAGTTTGGCAGAACTAGTGGTAATTCTGCCTGGCAGATGGCAGAATCCACCAGAATATCAAACTACGGTAGGGGAAATGATGTTTCCCAGTGACACCCATGCATTGTCATATCTATACATATAGTTGAAAATTTGCGACGCAACTGAACATCGGCGATTCTGCCGTTGGGCCCGTAAAAATACAAAGCCAGTGTTTCTGTATTTATCGAACCAAGGTCGGACAGTCACACAACGTGACATCCGCCGAAACATTGTAGCTCCGTTCGGCATCCAGTATCAGCGCCTTCAAGTGCATGGGCCTCGTAGCATTCATCTAAAAGCTAAACAATTAGAAAGGTTTTTATTGAATGTGCATTATGAACTAGGTACAAATTTATGAGGGGCTGTAGGAACTATTTAGATGACTGGGACAGTGTGGTACAGGTGCTGCAAAGGAGTAAGTAGGTGGCGTGTCTTACACACCACCTACTTACTCCTTTGTAAAGAACGAGCATGGAGAAGAGTGGTAAAACTTGAGTTGAGTCAGCACCAATCAGCAATGCACATTGCAGCTTCCTGTGACGGGATTAACAGTCGGCGCTTCCTGGCAGCACTTTGAATTGATTGGTGGTGCCCGGTTGCACGATCATGTAATGAGTCTGAAAGATGTGAGGTCTTATTAAATTCATCGAAGCACAGATTATCCCAGATCTCACCTGGTGAGCCTTTGCTGCTGCCCTAGAGCTCTTATACGTTCCTCCTTGAACTACAGTAAGGGCTTCTTGAATCTACGACTTGCGCTGGAAGCCTGGAACGTTTTGCTTGGAGTTGGAGTATGGGCACCCAGCGCGCCCCATGACCCTATGAGCACAAATCTGCTAATGGTGAGTGGTTTGGCAAACCTGAAACTCCGCTACGGCAGACTCGGCTTGGTGACAAGCAGACGTGATATTTGGCTGTCACACCTAAACAAGGATCTCAATCATTTCTCGACCAATTTCAATTATTCAAGTTCGATGATATGCGGTTGGACAGAATATGATTTGAAGCAGAGTTGAGTGCGATATTGCAAAGTGTCCGAACCATGCCTCACACCTTCCATTCGCAGTGTACCAGTAATGATAAGTTATATTTTCAAACCATGGAAATAAGTAATACGCCCGTGTACCATCGTGTAACATGTGCATGAGTCTAGTTGAGGCATAAATGCTGGCCCTCCGAACTAATTAATGGGACCCTACATGTCGTCGCCTGTGTATCTGGCACGTTGGTGTTTGCCACAGTGCGGCATGCTACCCAAGTTGCGGATCAGTAGGTCAGCTATTTGACAAGTCAAATCATGAAGAAACTGGTATGTATGGTAGGTATGGCCACTCCATTCAATACAGATCCATCATCGCTGAACTTGAATCAGGTGTAATCAGATGCGGAAATGGTCCCAATGAAGCGCAAAGGTGCACAGTTTACCGTCTTTTATCACTCCATTGATTCACGAGCTTTTCTCATGTATACTCATACGGTCTGGTGGCCAGTTGGAGCAAGGCGATGTCTTGCAAGCTGCTACCACGTCTTTGATTTGGTCTTTAAGACAATTATTATATAACAATCGCAACTCACTCGAATCCCTGTATACACCATAGGCCTACGACTTATAAAGGGAATGTCTCATGGAATCCTAGTCCTCCAGATCCTCAACGGTCGCTTTCCACATCTTTTGCTCACCGCACAACACCATGAACACTCTTCAGATCGTCGATGTTCGATTCCATGACAAGTCCTCCGATGTTGCCAGTGACATCCAGTCGCAGGTTATCAGAGGATTAATGGCTGCTACGAATGAGAAGACCTTGCCCACCCTGATTCTATACGACGAGCGCGGCTTGAGACTATACGACCATATCACTACTAAAGCACCAGAATATTATCTGTTCGGTGCGGAGGAGCAAATTCTCCAAGACTACGCGGGCCAAATTGTGGATGTCATGCACCAGCATACTGGAGGTATTGTTTCAGAAGAGGTCGTACTTGAGCTCGGGGCTGGGTGAGTTTTGACTCTTTACTTTTTTCTGCTGCCTCCTTCCGCCTGCCCGCTGCGGTCATAATAACTCGGCCTTAGTGCACATGACACTTTGAATATGTCATCAACGCTCTCAGCATTGGAACAACTGCTGACAATTTTTTTACTATAGCGCATTGCGCAAGACTTCCCACATTTTACATGCGCTCACCAATCTCATCCCTGTCGTCCCACCTATTTTACCCATAACATACTACGCGCTTGATCTTGAAGAACGTGAGCTCAAGCGCACTTTGATGGAACTTCACGAGTCTGCAGTTGGTTCTATGCTTGTTGGCAAGATAAAGGCGCAAGGCATGCTTGGAACATACGATGATGGACTCAAATTCATAGAAGAAGGTGGTCTTCAACAACCTAGGATTGCAGACGACGCTTTGCCACTCTCGTTAGGGTTTTACAAGCTCGACAGCACTCGCCGGGACTTCTCCCTGGCCTCGACAGGATCTTCTTTCCCTGATTCGTCTGACACTGAGATAACATCTCCGTCTACACCAGGAAATATCCAGACCCCCTTACATTTGCTCTTCCTCGGCTCCTCGTTAGGCAACTTCAAACGTGGAGAAGACGCCAAGTTTCTGCGGGCGTTGCCATTGGAGCCCGGCAGGGATACCCTTCTTCTTGGCTTGGACCATGATAATGGTCGCAAGGAGATTGAACTAGCATACAACGACCCTCAAGGTTACACTCGAGATTTTATTTTGAATGGGTTGAAGACCGCTGGGAGGGCACTCGGAGACGAGTCTATGTTCGCGGAACAAAATTGGGAATATGTGAACACCTACAACGAATCCAAACGTAAGTACCTCTTGTCAGTGCGAGTAAAGACCAATCCAGGTAGCCTGTTGGATTAGGTTGTCATGAAGCGTACTATAGGTGCACTCGTACGCATGACATTAACCCCCCGATGGCGCCCAGGCCGATTCAATTTTTGGAAGACGAACTTGTCAATATGGAAATATCGCACAAAGTACGTTGCACACCTCGAATGAGGTGGGGAATAACTCACGAGCAGCGAGCCTAGTATTCGGAAGCTGACATATACACGCTGTTCACTGAGGGCAAACTGCGGCCCATCCAGCGATGGACGGATAACACGGGACGTTATTCACTTTGGCTTTTAGAACGTCCGCCATTCGCATTTCCTTTACTAGACTCGCCATCGGTGGTGCCTGACCATACCACTAAGTTTGGTATACCCTCGATAGAAGACTGGAGCGACATGTGGACTGCTTGGGACTTCGTCACGCTGCGGATGATACCTCCTGCAATGCTATTCCAGAAGCCGATTGATTTGAGGCACATCTGTCTGTTCTATCTCGGTCACATTCCAACCTTTCTTGACATCCACTTATCTCGTCTTCTTGACGAACCTCATACCGAACCTCAGGAATTCAAGGTCAGTTCAGATTCGAAACAGGTAATCGGCGGCTCATATCTCATCTGCAGTACATTTTCGAGGTACAAAGTAATCGTATACCTGAGAATGGGCACAGCTAAATCTGATTGTAGAGAGGCATCGACCCCAATGTTGACGACCCAACCCAATGCAACCATGTTCGCCTTATTGTTCTCACTCATTCATCTAGCCTAATCCCATCCCTAGCCTCATTCAGTGGTTCCCACAAAGGATGACGATTGGCCATCACTCCGTAGTATTCTGGCCTTCAGGAATCGTGTCAGGGAGCGCCTTAGGAAGGTTTATAGCGATATTGCTGGGGGCAAGATCTCCTTGACTAGGAAGGTGGCTCGCGTCCTGTTCATGACGTTCGAGCATGAAGGTTTGCATATCGAGGTAATGTTGCCTATTTGGAAGTTGGTTTGATATGCTGAGGTTGCCTCGAGACGCTCTTGTATATGCTAGTTCAGTGCGCAGGGACGGGAACGATTCCTCCACCCGACTTTTCTCCTCCCCACTGGGAGTTTCTTGCAGCGCAATGGCAAAGGGCACCCAAACCTGCTGTGGCAACCGTTGAAATAGGTCCTTCAACTGTCACGCTTGGCATTAACGACATTGAAGCAGAAGACACCGATCCTGCGAAACGCTGCGATGTTGCTGGTCATATCTTTGGGTGGGACAATGAAAGCCCAACTAGACAGGTCGAAGTCAAAGCATTCCGTATTGAGTGGCGGCCCGTGACGAATGGAGACTTTTACAAGTATTACAAGGGTGTCGGACAAGGTAGAGTTAAGTTCCCCGCGAGCTGGGAGGATCGTAATGGAGAAACCTGTGTAAGTCGCATTCATCCTAGCTTCCGCGTTTAATCTCAACACACTGCAGGTGCGAACACTATATGGTCCAGTTCCCATAAAGATCGCCTGGGACTGGCCAATCCTTACTTGCTACGAGAATCTTTCAGTGTATGCGAGTGTCAAGGGCGGACGCATCCCGACTGAACCAGAATTGAGACTCTTCCTTCACAAATTCTCCTCTGGGTATGAAGAGGGCGCCAATGTCGGATTTAGGAACTGGCATCCCGTCCCGTACGTATACTCTCCCCTGAATGATTAGACTACTAATAATTTCATATTAGGGCTACTACCGGTGGAAGCAAGCACGGTGGGAAGGGACATAATGGAGGGGTGTGGGAGTGGACTTCCACCATCTTTGACAAGTACGATGGCTTTGTGGCGTCGACGTTGTATCCGGGGCAAGTACGATAAGTTCTCGCATAACTAGCTGACCAACGTACTTCACTCAGGTATTCCGCTGATTTCTTCGATGAATCTCATAATGTGGTGGTATGTGTCTTGCCCGAGTTATTTTCCACATTCTCTTATTACATTTATCAGATTGGAGGATCATACGCGACAATTCCTCGTATTTCTGAAAGGAGGAGTGTACGCAACTGGTACCAACGGAATTACCCCTACTGTTGGACGAGCGCAAGAATCACTTACGATGTGTGAAGTACACAGGCCACATGAATCCTGTTATGAACTCTTGGACACATCGACACCTGTAATACTAGCTATATGTACACTGTCCCATTGTCACAAATCCAATCAGACACATCGACACCTGTAATGCTAGGTATATGTACACTGTCCCATTGTCACAAATCCAATCAGGGCACTCCCTCGGTGTTCGTATCCAATACCTCCAAAAATGAAGCTGGCTCTGCTTCTTCGTTAACCTTCACCAAAGTAGTTGCCACTTGCACATGCTCTCCCTCCTTGGTACGTTTATCAATCAAGTAATTTTGAGCATACTGCAGTGCGAGTCTTCGTCGGGACTCTGGTACGTTCTTCCCTAGCCAGGTGTAGACCGCCGGGAATGCATGGTCGTCCAAGATATAAACACCATCAGACTGGAGTGAAGTTCTCTGCAGAGCGACAGCGACGACCTGCCAGCCATTGGCGTCTCCGTTCAGTCGGTATAATGCTGGGGGATTGACCGGAGTCTCTAGCGGTACGTCCAGCACAGGAGAAGTGACTCCCGCTGCTACAAGGAACTCTGTTTGGTCCAAAGTTCCCTCATCTGCATAGTTATCATTAATACGCACGGAAGCTCAGCCGATTAACGCACTCACCAAACACTTGAAATTTAGCTTGAGGAACCCTCCATTGTCCCAAGTACATCATATATTCAGCTGCTTTGTACCTCGCCCAAGCAGTACTCTTCTTGGTGTTAAATTGCCAATAGAGTGGACCTTTGTCGAGTACGTAGACGATCCCCTGGCGCATAACCAACCCCTCGAGAGGTATTTCGCGCACTATAAGCTGTTTCCCGTCCTCTGACCGTGTCTTGAGCACCTTACCACGCGTCGTGATCATCGTATACATCTTCTTTGCATCTTCAGGCAACATGGTGAGGACGCTATGGAATCCCGTCGATACGCCCCCATGCAAGATCATGAAGTGGGGGAAGTAGGATAAGTATCGAGGGGATTCGTGGTTTTGGATCTCGCGGTATTGCGTCACGTTGCCCCCGAGGTCTGATGGGTGCTCTGAGGAACCATTCATGCTCGGAGTGTATGATAGAATGACATACGTTCCTCAAGCTCAGCAGCCTTGAATGCAGCTGTGGCAGCTTGATCCACAGTCGTATCTTCTCCTTGCCAAAAATGCAGATCGTATCGGAGCGGGGTGTCCTTCTTGCCATCAGGCTGGTACGTCTGTGTGGAGAGTTAGAACCTCTCACGTCCCAATCCCAATCGTTGCCACTCACATGCAAAACAATATACGAATCGCCATCATAGAAAGTCCCATATTTCTTCTCGTGTTCCACCCAGTCGCTACAATCGATGATCGCAAAGTTCTCTACCCTCCATATTTGAAAACCAGGTTTGACACCAGCTTTCGCCCAAGCTGATTCTTTGGCGCCAGCGTGTTGGCGGACGCGTCTTTCGAGCTGTGTTGGCAATCAACTGTCAAAGCGTCAACAAAGCGGTCCTGAAACTCACATCGGAGCCTAAAAGTGCAATACTAACGTCGTACACAGGCATTATACGCAAAAATCGATATTCACGATGGCGGTAGGGTTAGAGGGACGATGAACCAGATAGGGAACACAACACGCCACACGTGTCTACACAAAGCGCCGGAACAGCTTTATTAGACAGGAGTGGAAATAAGCTGTGGTAGAATAAGGCGCTTATCCATAGTGCACTGCCATCATCGCTTGAACCGAATTATAGGGAGCTATCAGAAAGAGAGGTATCAAAGACATCGATTATCGTCTCATCTTCATCTTCTGAATCTTCTTCTGAATCTTCTCCCCAACGTCTTATTGTAAACACATCTGCTTCACCCTCTGCTCTCAAAATACTATCCATGTCAAGTATCAGAAAAAGGTCATGCCGAGACAATATTGGGACTTACTGATCAAAAAGTGAGATCGTCTCATTTTCCCCTTCATCATCCTCAACATCCTCATGCAGGGTCGGATGTGGCCCAAAAAGTGCTCGTAGAAACGTTCTTTGCGCCGCTAGATCTTGTGGTTGAAGCATCCTCACAGTCGGTGAGGTAGGAAGGAGATTTTGAACAGCAGGCGACGAAGGCGTAGGGCTATGAAGTATGATTTGTCGTTCGACGCCCGAAGTCGCGATATGTAGCAAGGACGGATGAATCGCGACAGAATTGACGATTGATTTATGCCCTTTAATTGACCATCAGCGATAAAACCCCTAAACTGAGGATGATTACCATTCAGTCTGGCTAATGGCATCGATATCTCGTGAGGCACGTATCTGCTCTCCCACTTGCCTTCCGCAAACGCTAGTACTTGCACGTCAGGCATCCTGTCCGGATATATGACTGTGCACGCTCACCTACAGTATCCGGCCATTCGCGAGCGTACCAGTCATGAGAGGTGATCTCCTGTCTAAGCCCCTGCAAAGTCATCAAAGGAGGAATCCTCCATACATAAGCCCTGAAATCATCAGACCCAGCACCATACATATCATCTTCATCCATGCCAGGACCACCAAAAGCGCCTGACTAGCCGCAGTGAGCTGAGGTGCAATCTTGACGCGAAGAAACGAAGTGACATACTTTCATCGTACATGAATTGGTGTATGATCGTTGGGGTGGAGAGATAGGGGTTCCATCGGGGGTGTTGCGACCTGTGCATATAGCCAAGGGATGTGGATCTGACATGGCATATATCGTTGGGAAATAGTGCTAGAGCATGCTGAGAAAAACCTAAAACTAGAGGGGAAAAGCTTACAAGGAACGTCACGGCTAATTTGCTTCCTAGAGAGAATATGAAGCAGCACGACACAACTAGTGGTCCAAAACTCACCATCGCGATCAAAAGTCAAACTGCTGCTCTCTGGATTACTAAGATAACCCGTCGACTTTCTCGACAACTTCGTGTTATACTATCACTCGTCTCATAAATAAATCTATAGCAGCAGTACCAGAGACGAACATACCACTCTCACGATCCCACCATTCGACCGTCTCGACAACGGCCCAAAAGTCATCCTCGTATCCCGGAGACAAACATGCCCATGCACGTCGCAAGTCGCAAAAACATGCTCCATAACAGGGTGATGTTGCGCGCCTGTGAATGCGGCCGTATGTTGAAGCGTCCCTTGCGCCGCGCTCATCCTACCTCCAGCACGGCTGTCGTGCAGTACGAGTTTTCCGTCTTCGCTGTGAGATGCTGATTTAGACCCAGATGCGGGCGAGTTAGAATAGAACGTGCCCAGCGCTGATAAATATCTCATCTTCGTATGGATGGCATGTAAGCGCTCGGACGCTATCCTATGCTCCTTGACATCATTCCGAGTCTCATAAAAGTGAGTGGGTGCTTACATCGTGATCTCCGTACCGTTCAACGGAAAACGACCAATCCCTCTCATCAATACTAGTACTACCAACCTCCCGCAACGTCGAAACATCGTACTTCAAAATAACATCATCCGCTCCTCCACTACAACAGCTGATCAACACTGTAACATAACACGCGGCATGATACGAATCCTTACCTATACAAATACTGATTCGTAGCTGAGAAATCAAGCGTCAGTACATTTCCCTATCCAGCCATAAGCACCAATGACCCAACGATGGACCAAAAAAAACTCACCATAGGTCCAGCAAAAGCATGCATTGGACACACCACGTCCTCCTGACTGAAATCCCAAAGCAACACGCGGCAGTCGTCTCCAGCGCTTGCGAGCCATCTGCCATCGTGCCTTGAGAAGGCGAGGTAGTTGACACATGACTTGTGGGCTGTTAGTTTCCTGTGAGGGGTAGGCGTTAGATGCTATTATGAAAATGTGATGAGCAGTAGGGTGGGCATGCGTGATGCAATGCTTAAACTCAAGTTACGATAATGGATATTATGATATTAATGTGATGCGCGCGATGATAAATGTGATACATACGCACGAAGGACACGCGCAGCACCTGCACCGTGCACACACTGGCGGGGCATTCACACATCGAAGCATAAACATACCTGGAATACGAAAACCCACACTCATAAAACTTTTTCAACGCATCCTTCCTTGCAAGATGGATAGATCGTGAAGTTAACGATTCGGTCGGACAAAACTTGTTCAAGGTACGACGCATGTGCATGATGCGTGCTCGTGTTCCTGTTCCTGTGCGTGGTCTCGTCGTTTCATCAAATTCAGGTGCGTCGAGAATCGAAGAACCATCAATATTAATATTATGAGATCTCGGGTGTTGCGGGGCGGACGGGACGCTGGAGGTCAGCGTGATGTCGATGATGTGGTGTGGCACTGGTTCCGTGGATACGATAAGCAGCTTGTACTAAACTTAGTATTAAGCGCAGAACAGCTATGTCAGCGATGAATAACGAGAGCGAGCAGAAAGCATACAATGTTACATACACGATATCGACGAGGGAATGATACAGCTACTATATAACAGTGCATTACGCACGTGCATACTCGATAGATAGATAGATAGCAACGGGGGGGAGAAGATTACTCTAAACCAAAGAGCAACAGAAATAAAAGGGGGGAAAGAAAATTACTCGAAACACTAGCTAAGATACTTCCTACACGTCAAGATAACCTGATCCTAGCCTATGTACGCATCTATGTATAACACCCTCGCAAGGGTCTTTCTATGTGGGGTTCTTGAAAACATGAGTGAAAAGAGAGGGGAATGGCAGGAAATAAGGTATTAAGAAGTGGATTGATGTTGGATGGAGCAGTGGGTGTGAATAGATTGTTTGCAGTGGGGAATCAACCAACGCGAACGAGCACGAACCAAAAAAAAAGAAAGAGCAAACCAACCAAAAAAAAACCAAAAGCAATAAGGGAGGAAGCACATCACCTCCCGGATCTCGTAGCAGCCTCAAACTCTTTGAAACCCGGAAGCTCCACCTTCCTCCTATCACTACCTGTGCTCATAAACGTCCCTTCATCATCACTACTGCTCTCATCCTCATCCATATCCATCGGAAGCCCCTCCCCGTCCCCCTCTGCCCCCTTCTCCCTATCAACCGCACTCTCGCCCGCACCTAAATTCAAAGGCGGTAGAGTAATAGGCGGCGAATTACTCCTCGAGGTAGGAACCGAACTCGACGCAAACACATTCGTCGTACTCCGAGCCTTGCTTTTCAGACCAAACCCCATACCCGTACCCCCATTCATACCCAAATGATGCGAATTCGGCCAGCTCGTATTTCGGGGTGGGTGGTTAGCGTTAATGGGCGTCATTCCGAATGCCATCCGGACAGAATATGCGAGGTGGTGATTCGTGTGGGGGTGGGGGGGCGAATTGGGTCTTGAACCGCTCGGACTGGTAGTCATCGTACTGCTCTCAAACACTGGTTTAGAGTTGTACATCCCGCCCCCCACTAACGGATATGTAGAACTCCCAGGGCTGCTTCCACTACTACTCGGCCCACTTGAAAGTTGGGGCGTCGGGAGGTTATGTAAGGCTCGCTCGGAAGCTTGGGCTTGGGCAGCAAGAGAGAGTTGGCCGGGGTATGTTTTTACATGTGGAATCGGCTCGAATGAACCCGAGCCTTGTTTTCGGGAAGCTGGGAAAAAAGCACCGCGGGTTGGGGGACTGCTGACGATGCTGGAACGACGGGAGCGTTGGCGGATAGGTTCGTCTATAGGGCTGATAGGCACATCCACAGGGGGTAGCGAGATGGGTGACGGGGCCCTTGATGGGTTGGTTGAATGAAGATTGAGGGTGCGAAGTGGGCCGAGGAATGGACTTGTACTTGGTGTGAAGGTGAATTCTGTGGCTTTGATGCCGGAGGGTGGGGAGAACTCTGCAGGGCCGGGATATGTGGGACGAGATTGTGGATGTTGTGCGGTGACGTGAGTGTCGGAATCGGAACTCAAAGGAGAGGGGGAATCTTCGTGTGTTACGAGATGCCGATAAGCTGGGGGATGAAGGGTTGAGTTCAGGGTGCGGGGTTTGGGAGCTTCGGGGTATGATTGAAGTGCAGGGATAGAGCGGGGGTCTTGTGACATAGGAGTCATTTGCCAGGCAGGGCCGCTCATTCTTCTTTTTGCTCGCATGAATTTGTCTGAAGATCTGATGTCTTCGTCTTCGTTCCAATCACGGGTGCTTGAAACACCGAAATAGCCATCAGCTGCTGGGCCCTTTAAAGATATCGTTGAGTGGACCGGGGAATTGGAAGCGCTTTTTGATGTACGTCCGCGGAAGTAGATGGCCTCGGCGTTCCGGGCTTCATACTCTGCACGGCGAAGGGCCTCTGCATGCCGAGCCTCGTATTCTGCGCGACGGAGAGCCTCTTCTCGTTCGAGTGCGTAAAGCTCATCCATTGCTAGACTGGATAGAGTTGAAAAAGCGGAAGGGTTTGATGAAACTGGGACATGAGTTTGTGAGCGCCTTGGGTGAGAAGGCTCATAAGAGGCAAGTGAAGTTGGACGGGCATATGATTCACCCTAGAATCATAGGGTTATTTTTATTGGATGAAGGAGAGAAATGGAAGATACCTCATCGTCACTATTTGCTCTACTTCTAGCCTTCTTCTTTACTCTGATAGAAGTTCCTTGAGGGTCTGAGCGAGGCAAGGAATGTAGGTTGATGCCTGGACCGGTGTGATCATCTATGATTGAGATATCTTGTTTTGCCTTTTGTTTACCTTTGGTATTTGAAGCACCAGACAAAGAATTATCGTTGTTGTGAATGCGTGAATGTCTTGTGAGTTCGTCCGAGCGGGAGAAACGTTTCTCGCAAGATGGAAAAGTGCAGACAAAGGGTTTTTCGCCTGTATGAGTGCGAATGTGACGAGTCTATAAGATGTCGATCATATGAGATCAGCACGTTGTGAGTAGAGAATAATAAATAAAAAAGGGATGATAGGTTTACCTGGTGTTCTAGTCTGCTGAAAGCACGACCGCATAGAGGATAAGGACATTTGTAGGGACGAGGAGCGACTTTATCGTTGGATGGAGGTGGCGGTAGTTGAGTCTCCATTGTGGTTAGGATGAAGAAGGAATGAAAAAATGAGGCAGAGTATAAGTAGGCGCTAGAGTATGTAATATGGGGGGTCGCTCGGAGTCCGGGGTAGAGAGAGGCGTGTATTCAACGTGCAAGGGGTCCAACGTGGAAACAGTAAAATAAAATAAATTATAAACTTTTTATTATATAATAATACCCCGCCTTATCGTTATCTTACCCCGATATTCTAAGAAAATTGAATACCATGTCCCTCCCCGACTACACCGCATCAACCCCAACCTCCCCCCATCTCTCATCCGCCGACCCTTTATCGCTTTGCCACGTGCCCATAAGCATACCCCCTCACCTTTGCCGAGATCACGCGCCTTCAGTCCGTTTCCTTCTTGCTTGTATCGTTGTCGTATTGACACGATCCACCTGCACAACATCTCAAATTCATCCCAGCAAAGTTCCCGATTATTTACCGCGCAAACAGCGAACAATGTGCTAGAAGCATCTCTCGGTCCCTTCAATGTAAACCGACGATAATCTCACACTCTGGTAACATTGACAACAACTCCACGGCTCCCCCCTCTCGGCATTCATCCAAAGAACACGGCGCATCATTCCCAGGCTTCGAGGGTCTAGATTCTATCCCCGCGCAGAGCGAAATGAACGAATGGCATCTCGGATCCCTCAAAGGTTTCGGAGATTCCAAACTCCGGTTCAGTCAACGTTGACGACAACCCACCTACGTAAAGCTCACTCGCCTAGTAAAGACCTCCATGATGCAATGCGCCGCTAGCCTACTTGTGCGAAAGTACGGCATCTACAATTCTCCACATGCTGAAAGGCTCCCCCCACATGCCGAACACCCCTCGACGTACACTCAACTCAAACTCAAATACAGGTTTCATCGACAACGTTGACAACCACGCATGTGGGAAAATCTGGGACTATCCCCTCATCCGCCCTTGCTCAAATTCCTCCCAGTGGAGATCTCCACGCAAAGAGCATAATGTGCTACTAGCCCATCATCCGAGCATCCAGATTGTATTTCATAGTACCGTACGGTATGACACTCATTATCCCCACAGACGGAAATGAACTTGCACCCCTCAAACCAGTTCTACAGCGCAACATTAATGATGACACCACGGATTCTGGGAAAATACGGGACGTACAACTCCCGAAAGGCTCCCCCACGTGGCGAAAGTTTCTCCTCATTGCCGAAAGGCTCTCCTCGTATGCCTCAACATTCCACACCGACATACTTAGAATCTACGCGTCTGGGAGTTTACGCGTTTCGCTTAGCCCACACGCGCTTCCTTTCACACCTTATCCGCTTCATGTATCAGAACGTCAGACTCGGGGTGACAGTGAGAGTAAGTCATGTGCTGTGAGTCATGTTTTGTGTGCTGTATGCTGTATGCTGTATGCTGTATGCTGTTCTGTTCTGCTCTATTACGTTGTTGACGAGAGGGCGTTGGCAGGAGACAACGGATTTGTGAACATGTGAGCAAGTTGTGATCTACTTTGAAGGAGGAATTTGACATTAATATTGATGGACTAGAACAAGAACCAGAATCACGTTAACGAGGATGCTTCGTACCATCCGGAGAAACGTTATTGCAAACTTTGGCCTGTTTAGTATTTGGCAATGGCCTGCTTCTGAAGTTCCGAGCATCCAGATGCCTAAAATCTCGACCGTACTATGCGAGTCTCGGACAAGCTATGTAGGCTGCTACTGTTTCCAACAGCACTGTAAAACCTATGGTTACAGTCATGCTCACAGCCCCACCGTCATGCGCACTCCACAGATTTCATAAAGCCACAGTGCCAGCAACTGCGACGGCTTCTCGTCATGTCATGATCCGCGCGATGATGGAAATGAAGCGCCTCGGAACCCTCGATGGAGATGGAGACACAGATCTACAGTGCCACATTGACGACCACACGAACGGTAACGGGAACGTTCAGGAAGGATACCCACGTACCGAAAGCTTCCCCTGGCCCCTGTCCGCGCCAAGAGGAAAATGAAGTCGTCTCGGAGTTATCAATGGAGAATTGACCACACAAAGACAAACGGGAACGTTCGGGAGGGACCTCTCGACTCCTCGTTTATGCGGAGAGAGAAAATGACATGGAGGCCTTCAAGGAGAATCGGCAACGTCACTAAAATACGGGATGTACTATGACCCGCCGAACAGCAAAAGCCATACGCTACGTTATGTTACACCACAGGACGCCTCTGGAAGTCAAACACGCACGTTCTGTGGTATGAAGCGCTTCATCATGCTGGCCTTATTGTTCGTTGTTTAGACGACGAACATACATTCATGATACCTATGATTCCGAGCGAGTTGTCCGTCGCAATATGTGATGTCATGATTATCATAAGTAGAATTCGAAATTTACCTTGTGCTGATTATCATTGAAATGCGGGTGCGTGCTGGAAGGAACGATCTGGTGTTCTATCTCGTCCTACTACATGTGGAGACTGCTTGTTAGCTATTCAGTAATTCATGCTTGCTTTGTCCCGGTCCTCGTTTTTTCATGCTTCTCCGAACGCTTTTGTGATTTCGGAGCCGACAGTAGGGGTACAAGGTTAATGTGAATGTTATCTCTGTCACAGCACAGTCCGGAAGCTGACGAATGTCATGTGCACATGGGCGCCGCAAACTCGAAAATTTCTAATCAACACATGTTCGTGGAGCAACGTTCACATAATAAATACAACCCTGCCTGAGGCCAAGTACTAGTGCCACAAGACCAAAACCTATGTAGGAAATGCGAATGACCGGGCGTGCTTCGCCGAAACCTAGTAGGTCAAAACTTTCAATTTGCACCGCCGTGTGTAAACAATTGTCAGATCTCAGAAGACTCCAGCTCGGGCTCATTGCGGTGCCATGGGGTGAAGCGGCATCTCCCTTAACTTAAGTTCAAACTTCAAGTTCTCCCTGCCCCTGCCAGGTCCTTATCTACCCCAAACTTTTGTCGGTGGGCGTAGGTTTGACGTCCGATCAGGCTTCAGATGGCGTAGATCGATCCAGGTCCAGAATGTGTCTGGGCATAAGTTAACTCAGGTATGGTATTGTGGTCCCGAGTTCTGAGCCCGGGTCGAGTCGAGCCCTCACCGCGGCCCGCGCCGTTTTCGCAAACTAGATGCGTATCATGATTAACATCGGTACCATGCGTAGTACCGCAGCGTCCAAAATTCCCTGTCTGTCCGACTCCTTCCAAAAGGACTTTTCATATGAGTATGCTAATACTAATTAGTGCCAGTGGGTGGGTGGGTATCCTCATATACACGTATGCGTAGATCCCGAATTTTTGGGTATGGCCCTAGCACGGGTGTCGATGATGATAGATTCTGCCCATCGATATGAAATAGCCGTGTCACGTCATGTTTTCGATTTTTGATTCATGATGTCGGTGCAACCGGTTTCGAGGTAGGAGAGTTGTGGGATGGGATGGGATACGGATACGGTCCTGTTCGGGCCGGCCGTATCATAGCTATCCGTTCAATATTAATGCGGGGTTCTTTGGGAATGGGCACAGCGCACGGAAGAGGCAGTCGTCTAACTCATGAAAGGCAAGGCGTAAAACACTGCACCCTGGAAAACGTCCAGAAGGCAAGCATTATGTATGTACCGCGCGCAGTACTTGCTTCCAGGCAGCACCAACACCACACTCGTGGAGCCAGTAGCTTGAAATGAAGAAGATTCCATCAGATCTCCCTGTAGATCTTGGTGCGTGGTCTTATCATGCATGCCCACAATACGACTCCGTGTCAATAAAATGACTGGATAGAACTGAATCGGGGATTCAGAAAATAGCGACCGCCTGTCGGATGCAATTTTAAAAAGCGATAAGGACAAGGATGGCGTCGACATCAATGCATATGACGATTGCGATTATGAATGGAGTATAGTAATTTTTCATGTGATTACGATTATGACTTGATCGTGTAATCCAGAATCCAGACCCCAGAATAGTCTGAATAGATCAACGTCGTCTAGTTCTGGTAGTCTGGAATTTCGACGTCTCGCGACGTAACCGCCTGCCCAGATTAGTATGATTGCGTAGATAGCACGTGCAGAGTAAAACACGTACCTGCTAGCTCTTTCTTTTTCGATTTCTCGTCTCTCTACTTCTTCTGCTGTGAGCACCTCGAACCGTGTTCGGAATTCTTCGGCTTCTGTCCATTCGCGCCATACGCTTTGGAGGACTTTCGGGCCTTTTGTACGGCCCCAGCCTAGGCCTAGCCCAGTTTTATCTTTCATGCCTTCGGCCTCTTTGTCGCCGCCGATGACGCCCCATTCGATAGCGTCTTTCTTGTGCTTTATGAGTTCTTCGTGGATCGCATGGGCTATGAGCGGCAGCGCCTCTCCCGACAACCCCAGCTCGGTACAGAGCTGCGAGGCAAAAGCTTCAGGCGTCAGAGGCGAAAGCAAGTCCCACTCTATATGATCGAGTAAATGATACGTCGCTATCTGCACGTCGATCTGTAAACGTCAATGAGGTAACTAAATTCAACATCATCACCAGGAGAACAAGCGCACGCTTAAAATAACACGACACTCGGGAACCTCTTCGCCCGCTTCAACTGCAACATGTGGATCCAAAGATAAGTCGATAGCGTTGTCTACACCTATATCCATGGAAGCGACGCCTTCGTGATCTTCAATCTGGGCACGAATTTGATTTGCGACTGTTTCTGCCCATGGGACGGTGGGGAGGTCGAGATCCGCGCAGAATACCTTGGCGAATGATTCGGGTTTTATGAGGGTCTCGTTCAAGTTCCAGACGAAGCAGTCTCGTATTCGAAGGGTGTCTGTTTCGAATTCGACACGGATAGGGACCAGAGAGGCGCGTGTTTGTGCTTGTGCTTCAAGTAAGTCAGGCGCACTGGAGCATGTGTGTGTACAATAAGGATACTATAGTAGTAGCAGTGGTAGCAGTGGTACGCACGGATATTCATGTGCAGTTGGAGCGACAGGTTTTGCTTTTATAAAGCGGCTTGGAGGAATCATACCTAAATAGCTCTGATCCAGCTCTCCCTTGTCGTTCTGCATGGGTGTAGGGCGCCGTTGTGGTTGTGGCTGGGGCGTGGACATACCACTACCTGAGTGAAAAACGGACATGCCAGTTCCCATTCTCCGGGTCCTCAAAGTTGTCCTCACACCTCCATTGCCGACAAAATCAGAGTCATCGGATTCGATAGCACCAGCATCCGGGAACTCGTCTCCTGAGCCTGGTTCTGCGTAGTTGATCATACCTCCACGACGGGTGGAAGCTCTTGTATTTCCGGCTGCTGCAGAAGGCTGGGTGAGTACGGGTTGGACGAGGAGGGTTGTTCCTGTGCGTAGGCGGGATGGATAAGTGGAGTGGAGAGCTTGTGAGACAACAGGAAGTGGATGACGGGGTGGATTTGGTGGGAGAGGAGGAGGGACTTGTACAGGTGCTACCGGTTGAGGAGGTGGTTGGTATACTGGAGTAGCGACGATCTGTTGTGTCAGAACTGGTTGTGCAGTACTAGTCTTTGCAGTGCGATGACGAGCACGGGTGCTAGTCTTGTTCGGATTGGTTGTTGACCAAGTGTGAACATTTTTAAGGTAAGCTAAAACGCGTTTGTTCAGTGAGGAATGTATGAGCTAATGAAATCAACCTTTGGATGTTGATTGTTGAGGTGCGGGTGATACATAGTGCTGGAACTGGTTTGTAGGATTATTAGCTGCATTTGAGAGCTGCGTTATAGTTTGTCGCAATTGTAAATCTGTTAAGTTTGTCATATTCGTCGGGTAAGCCGTCGAGGATGCGTCGGTCATCTTAGCAGTTGACCGAACCGTTGTTGAGCAGTAGTAGGTCTATGAACGATTTTAATTGGCTGACTAATATGCTACTGATGTAACTCAGGCACTCATCATACAATTTTTTGGGCGTCTACCCGCATACCACGACGGCCGCGGGAGCTGCCAAAACTCCATACAAGATGAGATTTAGTACTGTAACCAGTTGCACTCGAAGATTATCGGTTTCAAGAAAGAAGCACAATATGGTAACTCCCCGCCACAGCAAGTTTTGATTGGGCATCATATTCCTATCATCCTACGAGACCATGACCCTGTTTAAATTTGCAATGTATCCATTGCTGATGATACTGGAACGGCTGGCGTGTAGGCTGGCGACCAGTTGACGTGTGCTACCACAGACAAGTTGATTGTGAGTCTGCATGATTATGTCGATTATGGCTAAAACACGGCAGACCCCATTACAGCGAAAGTACAAAAGCCAATGCAAAACCCGAGCCCACCAATATCATGACTCATCGATGCATCCACCGTCACACAAAGCCTGCTGAATGTGATTTGGACGTACGAACAAGTACATCCACGCCACATTCAGCATTTTTCTCCTTCGTATGCGATTCCTGGGCCATGGAACAATTGTATACTTCCGCATCCATCCCATCTTCGTTGTTCACAGGTAATTTCTTGTGTGCCACAATATATTGTCTACAGTTCCTTGGCTCATACTCGAGCCATTCTTGTTTTGTTCATTCTTGCATGGACCCTGCTCGATTCCACAGTTCCACACTTCGGTTTCTCGTATATAACCTTCATGGGCTCCCTGATACCGACATCAAACCTTTCCCATCTGCCCAAATCAAACCTCCCTCATCTACCTTGATCAGATATGTTCGTTCCTCCCCACAAAACAGTTTGCTTTTCAAATCTGCCTTTGGAAAAAATCGAGGCGGTCTTCGCTAACAGCCTGTCCTGGATTGCAGGATATGACATCGAAAAACACGTAAGCATGTTGCGCGTTTTACTGATCTTCAAACTAACCTTGGTGTCTAGGCATGGGTTAAATCCAAGGCTTACAATGAATCTGCTTACGATCAAGATGCGTGGAGCAAGCTAGTCAAGGACCAACAGACTAAGGTATGGGCGGGAGTGGCTTTGGGATCATTGTCTCGCAAGCTAATGCGTTTGCTGCAGGATCTCATCCAGTCCATATTGGATGCCATTGAACGTTCTCCTGGAAGTTCAAAAGTTTGGGAAGGCATGGTGTGTTTTGAAACGACATTCCTGCATCACTCTTGTTTACCATTACCATTTTTAGAATGTCCTGCTGAAAGGAGCCCAAGGAACGGGCAAAAAGACGGTTGCTCATGCGGTCTGCAACAGACTCAAGCGTCCGATGCTCGTCATTCGGGCCAATGACGTCCCAACCCTTGCCGATGTGAGACCTTGGGCCGCCAAACTAGCATCGGTATGTACTATTTACAGGCCGTGATACGTCTCTGACGCGACGTGGTGCTTGCTTAGCTTGCGATCAAGTGGAACTCGGTGGTGGTCGTAGACCATGGAAATGTACGTATCGCTTTTCAAAGTGTTTGTCGTATCCTTTCTAAACACATGGCCCACAGCATTTCATTGAGCTTCAAGTATGTTGTTGATTGTTGTACTGTTAATGTTGTACTAGTATAGCTAATTCTTCGTCAGGAACATCTCAACATGATGATTCAAGAATTTAAATTACACGAATGCATCTGTCTGTGGGCCTCCGTGTTGTCATCCACTCAGCAGGCATTACTTGGCCCGTTCGCAGCCAGTGCGTACCACATCCATCTGACCCGACCATACCACTAACTTTTTCCTGTTGCAGCCTTCGAATTCCCCGATCTTGATCAGCCAGCCCGTCGCCAACGTTGGCTACTAATTTTTAGTCGAGGTGACCTGGCGGAAACTATCTCTAGAGGCAAGCATGCATCGGCCCCTACCGTGAGGGATCGAAAGGCGCAGGCCTTCCTTCGGGAGATTGAGAAAATCTCTCGGTATGAACTCGACGGTAATGTCATGTCTGACACCGAATGACCTGACGCAAATGCTAATGTGGTGTTAATAGGAGTCCAGATCGAAAATTGCTTGGATTCAGCACGAACTATAGCTGGGTATGTTGGTTGATATTATAAAGCTGTTCCTGACGACTAATCAGTACTACACAGGAGGCAAAATATAACCCCTCAGGACATGAAGAAGTATCTCAAGGGCTGGGATGTGCCCCCTTATGTATGCAGCACGATGTCGCGGTTTTTTGCGCTTCGTTACATGCCATCCAAGTCAGGAAGTGACTATTGGTGGTCCAAGTTTCGAAGGACACGGTGAACACATTCAATGTGCCTGTCTAAAATGTGCTTGCTGGCTTGTACTCATAAGATTACGGTCTTAGTAACTACTTACTTACCATTGTATATACTAGTATGTCACGAAAGGGACGAAGGACTTCGCCATTCATCAGCAAACTAGTGAAACCTTGTACAGATTTGTACAGATTTGTACAAACAGCACAATCCCACAGCCAAGTGCCTTCTGTACAATCCTGTCACAAAGCCTTACAATCCATACACAAAGGCACAATATTGACAGACTGGACAGACTAGACAATGTAGACAAACTGGACAGTGTGGACAAACCAGACAGTGTGGACAAACTGGACATTGCAGGCAGACTAGATTATTGTAGACAGATCAAACATGCTGTGCAAACGACATTGTAACGACTCAAAAAATCTACTAAATGATGATATTGATATCCTCGCTGCCCGCTGCACTGTCCAACTCATTGCGAAGTTCACCTATCATCCCCTCCTCGGCCCATTCCTTCAGCATCTCTTCAAGCTCCACATGACGTTCAGGAACGTCCATTGATTTGTCGACGGACTTTCGCAGTATGTTGAAGTCAGCCCTGCATGTATCAGCAGTAAGGTCAGGCACCTTATCAGTACCACTGTCGTGGAAGCCGGAGAGAACACCCTTCGCCTGTTAAGCATTGATCAGCAAGGAATATAAAAATTGATTAAGCCAAAGCCTACAACCGCAGCCACCAGAATAAGGCCGTTGACAGGAATTTGGTGTTGAAATTTGTCAGTTAGCTTGAGTGCTTTTTTACTGTTGCCATAGTAAAAACTGAGGCAGGCTTCCTTGAGAACCTGTGACACAAAATTGGTATATTCTCCCTGTAAACATCGATAATTAATTGTCGCACACCACGAGGTTGCCACTGACCTCAGAAGAGTCAGGGAGCCGAAGATATTCACCAGTCTTAAGGAGCTTAGCTGCTGCTGCACTGATGCGCTCCTTGTGCATTGAGTTGCCCTTCGAGAATATGCCATATAATTGCTTCACAATAGATATTACGATTTTTTTGAGTTCCATACGAAAGGTGAACAGGTCATCACAGAGCTGTTGGCTCATCAGCGAAGTTCATATTTAAGCTCAGTACTTACTAGTTGCGACATCGGCATTTTATACTCTGGGAAATAACCTTTACAAGGACATCAAATTGGAGCGACTTCTGATGGTGCAGGGCAACTTACCGTTGTCAAGCTTCACCTTCTTCATGTGGTATGTCCATAATACAGCACTCAAAACTTCTTGTGCCAGTACTACCACATCCTGATGAACTGGAAGAGGATGCAATAAAACTGCCTGCAACCACATTTCCAACTTTGCTGCCTGCAGGGAAGCTTGCCAAGATGCTGGATAGAAGCCGAGCTTTGAGGGGTTACCTTGTTGGTTGGCGCACCGCGCACCATCTCCAGATTTGCTGCATTGAACAGGTGAGGCACTACGAGAGTGAGATCAGCTTGAACTAGGAGCGGGAGAAGGTGTCCAATCTGGCTGAGCAGAATGCCTGGGCAGAGACTGTGACAAAGACCGTCCATGAGAGGAGGGCAGTTTGTGACTGGAAGAAACCATAGACTGAGTTGGAGAGTGCTGACGAGGAGACAGTTTGCGGAAGGAGGAAGAATGAGGTAAGTGTTGAGGGGACTTTGAACAAGTAACAGAGAGGTGTGCAGGTGGACGCTCTGGCCGCACATGGGTCGATGCGATTTTTTCAGATGGTGCTCTGTGAGGCGTGCGTCCAAGGGCCAAGTGCCCAGAAGAGGAAGAAGTGCATGCTCGTTCGAGGGAGGGGCGACGAGATCCCTAATGGAACAAATTAAAAACAACAGACCCAAAGTCACAAGGACTTACATGACTGGGTGAATGCTGATGAGACTTCGAGCCAGCTTCACATGGATGGGTGGACCCGTGTTCGCAAGAAGACTGGGGCACATATCAATAATCGTGCATGATAAGCAAAATGAAACATGTGCGCGTGCTAAATGAGTCGGGGAGGGAGCTTTGCATTGTCCATTTTTCATTTGATGGTGTTCAAGGGCATTGAAAGTGTCTGTGGCTTCATGATGAGTATCATCGTCCGAGACTTGGCTGTCAAAATCCCCCTGGTCAAGATCCATGTAAGTATCGCTGTCTTCATCACCGTATAAGGCCATCCGGTCGACTGGAGCCCTTGAGCGGACAAGGAGGAATAAAAATGTGAGGAAAAGATACAAGGTACAACTTACTCCTGTGTATCCCGCAACAAACTATCTTCATCTTTGCCAGGTTGATCATTGTGATCTTGCTCATTGGCGCCATTCTCTGACTCGTCACGTTCATCCAAATCCCGCATTCTATCCTTCCTCGCCTCACATTCTAAGGATTCACCTATGGCTTTCTTAGAGCTGCGACCGATGGGCTGAGTTGCCTCCCAGGGATCCTGTTTGTCAGCGGAAGATGACTTAAATCCAAACCTATCATCAGGGCTGGCCATGCGTAGGAACGGATGACAACGTTGAGTGTTTGATTGTGAGCCATCGTCTTCAACAGGACGAGGCAGAGAATTTGTGTCAGCCGAAAAGAACCAGTTACCTTTTTCTTCCCTTTCTTGAGCTGCTGTGAAGGTGCCATGGAATTGACTTCTGAGTCACTTGCTTTGACAGTACCTCTTCCCTCCTGTTGCCTTGCTGGGGCCATTAAGATCTCTCCAGCTTTTTTGAGCTGTGCTACATGACCACCAACACCTCGTGTGGACCATTCGCTTCGCTGTCGAGAAGCGTCAGTGTCTTCGGGTGCTTTGTTGGTGACCTTCCTCGTCCTTGAATTGCTGGGACTCAAGGACCATGTGGGAGAAGTGTGCCTGGCTTTCTTCCTGGGAGGCATGGAGTGAACTTGACAAAGTTCAAAGTTGTGCTATCCCGAAATATAATAAAGGAACTTACATAAGCTAGGAACGGTACATTGTACAAAGCACTACATTCAATGAAGAATATAAGATCATATGGAGGACAAAGGACAGGTGGAAGATTAAGAAAAAACTACAGAAATACGAGATTTAGGTAGAGCTCACGTTTGTGGGGTGTTAAACAAAGAATAAACAAGAAAATATGAGATATCGGACTCGGATGCAGTGCACTCTACAGATGTATACAACAAGAGAAACCCCAAACCAGTCAACTAGTGTTTGACAGGTGCCATCTTTGAGCGACGAGGCCGACAAACAGCTAAGGAAAGATCAGGAAGCAACTGGGCGACAGTTGGTGCGCTGGCAGGCACAGATGGTGGTAGCTGTGATGTAGATGCGGGAGGAGGCGATGGAGTGATGGTTGGTTCCGGCGCAGATGGAGGTGCAGGAAGTGCAGGAGGAGGTATCTGAGCAACTTGCTGACTGATCATACTTAAGCCCTACATTAGAATATTGCAGATTTTATTGTGAGACACGGCAATTGACTGAGTACTTGTGAGAGAAATTGCACAATGCCACTCTTCAAGGAGGGGGCGGCAGAGGATAAAGTATGGGGTGATTAACAGTGGGTCAGCCAGACCATGGATGAATTCCCACTTCCAAATACTGCTGGTCGCAAGACCATCTTGGGTCATGTTCTTGTAGGAGAGTGCCCACCTCCGAATGGCGTCCCGTCGCAAAACTTCTTCACTAGGTTGGGGGGCCAGTGCACCCTTCGGTCCTAGATACATCACAGTAAATTCAAGCAGGATGTAAAAAAGCGACTCAAGATCGTCGCAGGGTGTATTTTGGACCATATGGCCATCTCCCATTAGGCGGAGAACGCGAAAGGATATGTATGGTACAGTTCCCTATAAACCATGAGGTTAACGCAAGCAGAAATAAGTGCGACATTGTAATGCACAGTACCGCGTGGACTCGCATCCACTTTCCCATCATCATTGAGAAACTTTGCATGGTCAAAGTCTATAAAATAGCCTTTTCCTTTGTAATTATAACATTGTTAGGGCTGAGGTCTCCATGAAGGACACATCAGCCCACCATTGCCTTGTGGGCTACAATTCATGGTGATTACAGAGGACTTCAGGTGATTGCAAAAGAAACTCACCAACAACAAGGTCATGAAAAACCCCAATTAACTCAGGTACATCATTGAAGTGCATCAATGGCACCCTGCAGGGTGTTAAGAGAATATGCTGATGAATTTTTTTGTCGAATTTGAATGTTGAGCAATGACTATGAATGTGCGAAGTGGAGTCGGGCTTCCCATTGTAAAGCACATCCCAATATTTCTTGAGTTGAACCACGTTCAGGATGCCTTCGACCACTTTGAGAAGCTGTATCTCGACGTCTTTGACATCCTCGTTGACCCAACAATCCTTCAGTGCATACTCCTGATCAAACTTGTCTCAAACACGATAGCAGATGGTTCTGCGCTTGAAAAATCCGTGGCTTTTCCATAGAATATCCATAATCCAGTACACATTCTCGTCGTTGTCGCAAACCCAGCCTATCGCCCCGGGAAGCATGGCATTAAAGCCATTTGGTAAATTAGTGTGAGTTGGAATGGTGTTGCAAGAGTTGCAAATATGGATTGTTGGATCAAAGCCAAGGGAAGAGCGATTTGCTAAAGTGACGGTATTCAACACATTGACAAAATGTATGGGGGATGTAACGATCAGGAGTGGTTTTGAGATCACCATACCAGAGCGATCCATATAATGGGCATGAAGTTTGAACTTAGAGATACTGAAAAGTAGGATGAAATGACGCCATGGTTGCTCCCACATCATCAGATAGCCCTTGGTAGCAACCCCCAAGAACAAGGGTATTTTGCAATTGACAGAGAGGTCAGATTGGGTAATCTCAACTCCTGTGAGGATGTCTTTCCAGGACTTTTGCGAGAAACTGAGCTTTCTGAGCCTGTAATCCAGGAGAATGAGATCAGGCTTCTGTGAATTGGTAGTGTCTGGCATGGGATTGGTGGCGAACTCTGAAGACCAGTACCAGAGATCTGCTATCTCTGTGAAGGGCAAAATGTGCAAGTGCTGGGTTCCTGAGCACTGTGATGACGAGTGCTGTGATCCATCAACATTGCGCTCTTGGACTTGCTCCTTGAGCAGTTCGCACATGTGATAGTATACCGCCCGGAAAAGACGCTCCCAATTCTTTTCCTCTGTTTTTCCTACAGACTTTGCTCTTTTTGTTCCAGCCTTGACAAAAGCCTGCTGCTCCAAGCTGCCCTCCGTCTCTAGCATGGAATCCCCTTCAAGTTCCATGTCGGTATCTGTCTGCGACTCAGCCTAAGCTGCCTGCAACCGGGTATGCCTAGCTGGCACCTTGTGTTTCCTCTGAAAAGCATTCTTGAGTCGCCATTCCTTATCAAAAATGGAAGCCCCATGTATCTGAGTTTGGCTTCCCAGTACTTGTTTGATGTAAGTGATCCTCTTGATTTCCGATTTGCTAAGATTTGATAGAGGAATGAGGATTTTAAGGATGGAGGTCTTAGGCTGCAGGTCCTCCTCCCACAGAACCTGGGGATCTTGGTCTTGCAGGCCCAACTCACTCTTCATGAGTATATCCATTTTGTCCTTCATGTGATGTATGGGATGGATAGTGACAGTGCTGATAGCCGCTAGGAGATAGTTGGCAAAAGATGTTGACATGGGTGGCAATTCGTTGTCCTGTTGTCACTGGCAGCGTGGTGCTCTTGTTCTTTCAGTAAGTTGCACAGAAATTGATCAATTTGATCATATTAAAATCGGTAGTGCATTTACCGGTTTATACCGTAGTGCTTGTTCATAAGTGTTTTGCAGCTTATTTTCAAAGAGCCTTTAGTGTGCGTTTGAAACAGTACGTAGCAATTGTATCCGAAGCTAGCTATCAGGGGTAGTAGCATAGTGAAGCGCGTAATAAAAGTCCTTATCAAAATATTTGTTCAAAAAAAACTCTTGGGAGTAATGTGTAGATGTAGCCGAAGTCAATTGTACATCTGCTGCATCCCCCAGGCGAGGGATGATACTAATAAATGCACGGAGTTGGCGGAGAGGAATGATACTACCGATAGGGGTACCATCTGCATGCTTTGCACGCTTCAACACATGCATCCCAGTGGCAGGATCACAGGGGCCAATGTTCAGACGCCGCACGTAGCAAAGGTACTGATCTCACCAAGTGATACGAGAACCTCAACGATGGATTGGGCACATTATGAGGCATAATTTACAGATAGCGTGGCCTTGGGAAAGTGTGTTGATTATATACATTGACATATGATGAAAAAGGACTCACCTGATAGACCTGATTTAGGCCATTCATGTGTGGTATCCACATTGACAAGGATGGTGTCCCATCGACCTTTTGGCCACCCAGGGCCAGGAGGAGAGGCATGGATAGTTTGAGCCGGCAACACAATATTGAGATTATGGAAAGATGTGTGCTGGAGGCGAACTGTGTCCCATAATTGAATGCGGTCGAATGGAAGGATTGGTAGACAATCGATCGACGGTCTCCGTCTTGGACCCCCCACCCCATGAACTATTCCTCTCTCTCTCGCATCATGCTGTAAGAAGCCCGAAAGTGCAACATGCAGATCCGGTAAGTTGAAGTCAGTACTGACATCATCAACTTTGACTCCTGTGCGAGATGGACTGTGGTTGAGGTGGATGGCAGCATTTTCAGCAATGGACGTTCGATGAGGGATACTGGAATTGCATCTCACAGTAGCCATTTGCCTGGCTTTGCGGAAATAATTGGTCGCAACACGAGTGTGGATCATCTCCTCAAGGAGTGTTGTTCATGGATCGTTTGTTTCCTGTTCGTCTCCATCGTCCAGGTCATCCTCCTCAAGAATGTCTTCGGCCCAATTAAGATCATGGGATGCGGGATGGCTCTTGAGCGATGTGGCGATTGCGAAATGCCGCAACTTCTCCTCCCAATCAAGATGACGACAGATCTGCGGGTCGTAATCATTATTATTTGTTTTCCATGCAGGCTCCTTGATTTCAGAAATGTGTGCATGCTCGGTAGCATCTGGAGACCACTGTATGAGGGTGCCAACTTTGCGTGTGCTGGAAGTGACGCTCTGTAGGAGCTCAAGCTTAAAAATATGCCAATTTTCAATAGGCCTCTTTGTGCCCATCCGCGCGCCTAAGGTCAAGATAACATCTTTGTGTTCGTGAAAGGTCGACAAAGATCGGTCGATACAGGCCAAGAGATTGTCATCGGGCGCAGGACACTGCACTAGGTAATGAAGATCCATGAGCGCATGGATCACGATGACAAAACGACGAGGGGCTGCACCAGATATTAGGCCAACAATATAGCACTGACTATCACAATGACCCCTACCTGTAACTTGTTTCAGTTTGGATATTCCGCCAGGAAAGTGGCGATAGCCAGTAGTCGGCTGTAATATCGAGAACTGAAAATCCAGTTCCTGAGCTCCAACGACCATGATACACCACTGAAGATTGTGGTCGTAAAATTCTTTGTGCCAATGGTGCAATGATTCTGGCGTCAGAAAGACGGAGGGATCTGCGAGTGGCCAATCCATCCAGAATGGTGCATACACGCCGTTCAGCCGCGAGTCAGCACAAGCCTCAAAATAAGCCTCCAGGTCATCAGAATTGACTGTGATGCTAGCAAGCTGTCCAAGAGTGATGGAGTGCGTATGAGCAGGGTGCCGGAAATTATCCCCAAACTGCAAATACAAGGCCATGGTGAAAGGAGAAGTCTTTCCACGCACACATGCAAGCATGGCCGCCTCTGGGGTATCAATGATGTATGCTGCGAGAGGGGTAAAGCAATGGTGGACATTTCCTACTGGATTGGACATCATAATCCCAACTTCAGTAGCTTTCATCAATGGCTTTGAAACGATCGAAAGGCATTCATGGACAAGATGGTCTTCAAGCATGCCCTGCATTCGTTGATTGGGATGTAGATACTTTGGAATTGGAAGGAGAGCCGTGAGCAGGAAAGCCTTAGATGAGAGTTTTGTGCGGGTACACATGCGGATATTGGCGAGGCCTTAAAGAAGAGGGTGGGCAACCCTGGCACCGGTCATGGTGGTGATGTTGGTTTTGTCAGATGAAAGAACAGCACTGAGAACTGTAGCACCTCTGGGAAGTTGTGTCTGCAGGATATATGGTGAGATGACGCAAAATTCAGCAGAATCAGTACTTACTTGCATTTCCCAAGTGGAATCTCCTGTTAACCATTCCGAATATACACGCAAAAGCCGCTCTGCTGTTTTGTAAACACGGCGAGAGATAAAATCAAGCTTGTCATGAAACAGTGGATTACTGAAAAGGCTCTCCAAGCATTCCACAGGGTCCCTCCAAAAGAGTCAGATTGGACACTTGGTAGGATGGATGGAGGAGATAGTCTGGCATTTACAGCTTGGTCCGCTAGGGAGCATTTCAGCATGGCTTCGTAGTTCTTTGGCATTTTTGAATGAAAGATGCAATCTTTGGACCTGAAAACAAGAAGTGTAAGTTGCGGTTGATGTATCAATGCTCCAGCCTGAGGATGCAAAGAATACGCACCATTGAAAGCTTCAAAAATTCATCTATTGCTGCCATGCTGAGGGACAAGCGCAAGAGATAATCGGCAACTTCCCACTCTTCTTTGGATGTGAAAGGATAGTAGAGGTTGTCTACCCTGCATTCTGCATATTCATCAGTGTCAAATAAATCCAAGAAGGTCAAGCCATCTTGAGAGTAACAGGCCCCCACACCATCATACTCTTCCTCCAGCGATTCTCCAAACATTCCGAATTCATTGTTGATGTTATCATACGAGTGATCCCCATCATGAACTTCCGGGACACTGTTGGTATGAGATCCTGTGCGATGCTGAGGAGGAACCACTTCCACAAACTGCAAAACATCGACAATGTCACGCATATGACTATGACACGACAATCGAGGCTGGCTCAGGTGTCGAGTGATGCTGCTCTCCTTCATAAATGTTCTCCCACACTTTGGGCATGTTGGTGACATCAAAGATATTAAAATATTCACACGATCTTTGTTGATATCCACCTAAGTGACCTAACACTGTTATGATGCCCTATCAGACTCGCACTGCAGCCTCTAATCCCCAACACAAAAGTGACTCGGTATTTCGAACATTCCATAGTACTATGTCCCCTTCTCCAAGTCTCAGAGGACATTCACATGAGCCACACAACCAAAGACCTCTTCAAACCACGAATCAATCGGTGTTCTATTGGCCTGACTTTGGTGAAGCATCATCAATCAAGGATGAGAAATTCCCTACCACGCTGCACCTTGTGAGTACCTTGCTTGCTTTTACTTGCCAGGACTCACATGCTGCAGCAAGGTGATTATGCCCCATTGGACGGAGGAATAGAAGGCAATAAACACTCTGATCTTGTGCTTGCGGCTGCCAAAGCTAAACGAAAGGTGTGCGAGGCCGAGAAGCACCTGGCCGACTGCATTTTGGCACACCAATTGGTGATTCTCAACATCTGGCATCAGCACGTCCAGGCTGCAAATTCTTGTTTGTTGATGGTGGAGCTCAACGTTGTATGCCTCCATACGGAGCGGAAGAAGATTGGGATCTCAATGTCCATGACTCGGAGTCACTCAGATGGCACAACAGTGAGTATTCGTCCTCAATTTTCTGATTTGTGACTTTTGAAAGTATGTCTACAGACAGTCGGCACCTCGTCCTCGTACTAAACTCACATATTTGCAGCCTGAGTTAGGCTTGCATTCACACCATCTAAAAATTCTCGAGTTGGGCCCACTGAAGTTCACATAACCGAGACAGAGGAAGAACATATGTGAAGCTTTTATCTTCGACCTTCCTACAGTACTATACTAGCTCTATTTATGATGTAATTACTTTGTTGCCTTGTAGTTCTTGTATCGCTCTGTGGAACATTGTGAAACCTGTAGTACTGTACCCATGTACCGTCTATGGACTTGTATGGTTTTGTATTGACGTGTGGTTTCTGTAACCAAATTTGTAGTTTGCTGATGTTGTTAGCTTATTACTTCTTGCATGCAGCAGGGGCATGCTGTATTGTTCTGTATGAGCTCACAGCGTGAATGTGACCAATGCGTTGCAAAGAATATCTGAATCTTCAAATACTCCAACGGCAAGAACATCCCGCCCCTCTGGTGCAGAAAGTCTGGCATGCACTACTATCCCTCCCGGCTGAGTCGTCACCCCCACAAGTCGTCACAACCTAAATATCTCACTCAATTCTTACTTCCACACATAATTTATAACTTCAATCAATATTTTTAACATGTACTGTTCATTGCGAGGTTGAACAACTGATTTTTACGATGAAATGGTGAAGTTCTTTGAAAGCAGCCAAAGTCAGGCAAGACTCACGCTGGTGACAGCCAGCCAAATGTTGCCGTGGCAGAGCTTTAAACAGATACTACGACTGGCTGTGACGACTTGTCAGACTCGGAGATAGCCGCTCAAAAGGAGCATCGTGTGATTCTGCATATGAGCAGTGGATTCAGGCAGCTCTGCAGGGTGTCACAAACAAGATCTACAAGACCATCAAAGAAGCTGCATTGGCTCACAATGTAAGCTAGTATTTCACCCTCACATGATTTTTTGCTCCAACTTAACTGACATCTGGATCTGAGGCATTGCTGAGTGGGCTTAGAAATGACAGCTGTGACCAACTGTGACAAAAGTGTTACTTGACGACTTATGGGGGTGACGACTCAGCCGGGAGGGATAGTACAGCAAGAACAGCAGCAAAGCTGGTGGCTAACAGATGACATGTTGAACATTGAAATACACTTAGAGGCCTGTTCTACTACAGCTACCAATGACTGCTGCTCACCAGTGCACTACTCACTGGGCAGGAACTTGGACATCCTTCCAAAGAAGTTTTCTGCACCCAGGCTTCAGACAATGACTGTTGGAAGGTGGTAGGTGCGATGCTGGGTCCATGCCAGATGGGCGTGCACTGTATGTACTGATAAGATTAGTGTTACAGTCAAAGTACACCCCTATTTTCTCTTCTATCACCGGACAATGGTCTCTTGCTGTGTCTACTGTACAGAGACCGATCACCTTCCAGTACATCACATTTCTTATTGCCCAAATGGCTTATCATGTTAGTAACTGTTACCATGCATAGCCCTTATCTCTCATCTCCGCTTCTATCTTGATATGCACTTTATGCCTGCCTTTCCTAGCCTGGTCTGTGTGCCCCATATGGACTATTTAAGCACAGTAGTTACCACTTGTATTACTCACTTTAATCTACTGGGTTTTACCTGGAAACTAGTCCTTCAGTAAGGTCTCCAACCTTACTGTCTTGAACCATTATTCTAAGGCAGTCTGCAACACTGTCCTTAGCCAGAAACCTCGAACCTATATTCATAGGCAGACTCCGCTTTACACTTCGGCTTGGCTACTCAGCCATTGTAAAGAAGAACGACCCCAGTCGTAACAAAAGATTAAAGTCTTTCCCACCAAGTGTCACCATCAGTGACATCAGAAATCTGAACAGACCAAGATGACTTCCCTCACCCCCTTGATCAGAGCCTTCGGAGCACTTAACCTGAACCCACCAAACACCATGACTACCACCACCAAAGAAGTGGAAATAAAGATCGGCACTCCTCCAGAATTTGATGGGGATAGAGACGAGTCAGGGAGGTTTTTGCTGAACTGCAATGCCTACCTTGACATTAACGACAAAATCTATGACACTGATAAAAAGAAGGTTATTTTTTCATTGTCCTTCATGACAAAAGGAAATGCTGCCGCATGGAAAGAAGGCTTTATGGAAGCGGCACAAGACTTAACCGGAAAGAATACTGCTGGGACTGTGATTGGGTATGGAGACTGGTCCACTTTCAAAACGGAATTCAAAGAGGCGTTCAGCACCATTGACCCTGCCAGAACCACCATGACCAAGATAAGGAATCTCAAACAGAACAGTGATCTCCAAACCTACAGTGGCTCAAAAAAGTGTCCCAATGTTTGTAGGTTTTCATATAATTGGTTTATTGTGCACCAGGGTGTGGAAATCTGACTAAGCTCAAGGGAGATGTTGGAAAGCCCCGCTTCCTGGCTATAATTCGGTTTCATACATCGTGGAAATCTGACAATACTGTGCGAAGATATGGCTATTTTAATTAGGTGACTCATTGGGACACTTTTTTGAGTTTGAATCTGATATACACAATCTCTACAATTCTAGTACTTAGTGTTTCCCCCCTTAGCTTTAATGACTGCTGCTACCCTCCTAGGCATACTTTCTATCAATTTCTGACATTCCTCCTCAGCAATCTTCCCCCACTCTACTACAACTCTCTCCCATAACTGAAATAGTCCATTAGGTGGGTCTTGATAGGCAGCAAGCAGTCTCTTGAGTAATTCCCAGAGATGTTCAATGGGATTGAGGTCTGGAGACTGTGCTGGCCATGATAGGACAGTAATATTATGGTCCTCAAACCATTTGGTGGCCAACTTTGAGGTATGCTTGGGGTCATTATCTTGTTACAAGAGCTCTTTTGTCATGCAGAGTAAGTTTAGAAGGATGTCCCATTTTGACATTGTCTTTGTTGGGAATATTGTGATTGATGACCCTGGCAATAGTTGACTTCCCAAGACCAGTTTTGGAGGCAATCTGCCTGATAGATAGACCAGAGGTAGAGAGAAAAAGAATATTATCTCTCTGAGAAGAGGAAATAAACTTCATGCTGATTATAAGGGATATAATGTTATTGGAAGGGTTTATATATGTATAGGATATTAAAATAAGACCATATTGTCAATATGGAACCATTTTAATATATATTTCTAAATGGTGTCATGTCTAAATGATCTGATTTTCATATTTTAATAGCAACTCAAAAAAGTGTCCCAATAAGTCACCTAATTAAAATAGCCATATCGTCGCACAGTATTGTCAGATTCCCACAAAGTAGGGAACCAAATTATAGCCAGGAAGCGGGGCTTTCTGACATCTCCCTTGAGCTTAGTCATATTTCCACACCCTGGCGCACAATAAACCAATTACATGAAAACCTACAAACATTGGGACACTTTTTTGAGCCACTGTACATCACAGAATTCCGCATCCTTGCCCACAAAGCAGGAATGAAAGAGCACACCCCTAGGATCGAATTCTTCCGTGAAGGGCTTAACAGAGGACTTCATGACCAGCTCTACTGTACCAGAGAAACACTCGACAACTTTGACACTGTGGTAAACACATGTATCAACCTTGACAATGCTTTCCAGTGTCTTAGGGCAATTCAGAGAAGACAAAACCCTCAGCATCAGAAGAAGAAGAACTGGGGAAACTGCAGTTATATCCCTCGAAGAGACGATAATGTGATGGAAGTAGATCGCCTCACTGATGAAGAAAGAGAAGAGCACATGCATGCTGGGAAGTGTTTTAGGTGCCATCAAAATGGGCACCGCGCAAACAATACTACCTTCCACCCCAGAGAAGACAGGAAACAGAAGGCACCTATCTGAAGAAAGGTAGAGAAAGAAGGTAGCAACGATGAAGACAACGAAGAAAACAATTGCCACTTCATGGAGAAGGATTTTTGAAATTGAGGACTGTTCCAACATCAGTACCTCATGTTCCCATCAGACTTGTACAATCACTTGGAAATAGAAAAGAACTCAGAGTCCCAGTGACCCTCATTTCCGAAACATGTCTGAAAACTGTCGAGACCTCTATGGTCATAGACTCCGGAGCATCTGGAAGCTTTATTAGTGAAGCATTCTGTAAAATGCATAAAATTCGAACCCATCGGCTATCCAAACCCTTCCCTGTTGTAACAGCGGATGGATCCGACTCTGTCGGAGGACTTGTCTCCAGATACTGCGTCCTCACAGTCAAAATTGATGCAAGGACAATGATTGGAAAATTCAACGTCACGTGACTGGCAAAACGAGACAAAATTTTGCTTGGAATCCCCTTCCTCTGTGCCCTCAACCCAGCAATTGATTGGACTCAAGGAATGATATCCCTTCCCCCCACAGCACGATCACTTTCAATTGAAAACCGGGTCGACAAAGTCAGAAAGAGGAACAGTTTGACCCCCATCTTTAGAAACACTAAAGAGAAAAATGTTACACCCATCGATTGAACATGGAAGGACTCCAAACTAAGGAAACCTAGTCACAGAGCATCGATCGAGGAGGTACTTGATGAAGAAACACTACCAAACCTTGCCCTGGATCAAGACAACAAAAATTCCCCAACCTTTGATACCAAAGAAGATGTTTGGTCTGAAGACAAGTATGCACTTCCAGTCAAAGATGTCTCTACCTATGAGCTAGACAAGGGAGACTTCCTGGTCAAATACTCTTCGGACGGATCACAAATCCAAATAATAGAAGAAGTCTCTTTCGACACCCCCCTCACAAGGGATGGGACCTTGCTCAAGGAACAGCAATTTATAAAAACCAGTAACAAAGCTCAAGAGTTCGCAGTTGCAGGAGAAATTGAAAAGCAGAAGAAGCTGTTTGAAGAACTCATCCCATCATACCTCCATTCCTATCACAACGTATTTGCCAAAGATGGGCTCAACCAACTTCCGCCAGAAAAACCCGGAGTGGATCACTGCATCAATCTTAAACCTGGTTTCACACCCAAGACATCCAAAATCTACCCTCTATCAAGCAAAGAGAGAGAAGCTGTCAAAGCATTCATCACTGAAAACACCAAGAAGGGCTTCATTGTTGAATCTAAATTACCCCAAGCTAGTGGATTTTTCTTCATAGGAAAGAAGTCTGGAGAACTTCGCCCCTGCCAAGACTACCACTATATAAATGGATGGACAGAGCGTGACCAATATCCCTTACCATTAATGAAATCACTTATTGAACGACTCTACAATGCAAGATACTTCACAAAGATTGATGTTAGATCTGGATACAACAACATCCGTATTCATCCAGACGACAGGTGGAAAGCAGCAATTTACTACAGAAGAAGGGTTATGGGAACCAACATTCATGTTCTTTGGTCTTACCAACTCCCTAGCAGCATTCCAATGATACATGAACAATCTCTTTCAAAACCAGATCAATCAAGGTTGGATTGTCATCTATATGGATGACCTCTTAATCTTCTCTAAAGTCCTGGACAAACATCATGCCCGTACATGAGAAGTGTTAGATGTCCTTCGGAAGGAGCGACTCTTTGTTAAACTGGAAAAATGCACGTTTGACGCCACAGAAGTGGAGTACCTTGGCATGATCATCCGCCCTGGAGAAGTGGCCATGGAGCCTGCTAAAGTAGCAGGAATAGAGCAATGGCCCATCCCCATGAATCTCAAGGACACTAGGTTATTCTTGGGTTTTTGTAACTTCTACCAGAGTTTCGTTCCCCACTACTCCAATGTCACCCAGCCATTGATCAACCTCACAAAGAAGGATCACCTGTTTGACTGGACCCCATCTTGCCAGGACGCTTTCGAATGGCTGAAAGCACACTTCTTGTCCCAACCAGTTCTGCGTAATCCCAATCCAACACGCCAGTTTGCTCTAGCAACTGATGCATCTTTGGTCGCCACTGGAGCAGTCCTGCTCCAGACTGACAAGAATGGTTGTTACCACCCTTGCGGGTACCTGTCCTAATCCCTAAACCCCACAGAACACAACTATGAAATCTTTGATAGAGAACTCCTTGCTGTTATACATGCTCTGAAGGAATGGTGCCACTACCTTGAAGGGAGTGCCTTTCCTGTGCTGGTCTTCACTGACCATCAGAACCTTCTACATCAGCAAACTAGGTGGTGCTTGTACAAGGTTGTACAGGGTTGTACAGGGTTGTACAAGCACCACAGTCACACAAGGAAGTCCTTCCTTTACAGTTTTGTCACAAGGTCTCACAAGGTATACAAACATTACAATCTGTGCCTTTGTACAGACAACACAGACTGTGTAGACGAGACATGCTGTGTAGGTGAAACATACTGTGTAGGCAAGACATACAGTGTAGGCAAGACATATTGTAAAGCTTATGTAGCTCACTGTATACTGAACAGGCTTGTAAGGGATGCACCAACTGTCCTGATTGTCACTAACTACACAGCAATGAATGAGAGTATGCTATATTATAGGATGACATTGACATCCTCCATATCACTGCCTCCCGCATCATCGTCGTCAAAACAACGGTCACCCATCCCAGTCATAGCCCACTCCTCCAGCATCTCTTCAAGCTCCCTGCCACATTCAGGATTATTAATGAGGTTGTCTACTGACTTTCGCAATGTTGAAGTTGGCCCTATATTTATCTGCGGAGAGGTCAGGGACTTTGTCGGTGCCGGTATCGCGAAATCCACTGATGACACCCTTTATCTGCTGACCCATCAGCGACAAAAAAAAATGAAAAAATGAAAAATACCATTGCGGCCACAAGAAGCAGCCCATTGTCGAGCCCCTTCAGTGACAAATTCTGTATTATACGGGCCACCCGACCTACATAATATCCCGTATCAGATGGGCCAGTGGACCATGGGCCCATGTTGTGTATATCCTCGATGACGACGGATGGGCCGGGTAACATATTATTTCTGATGGAGATGGGTGGGCCCATGTATGCCAATGATATATATATCCTTGATGTTGATGGATGGGCCGGGGGAATATGATCATTCATGGAGAGGGCCCATCTGGGTAATATGTAGAGTAGGATATTATAGACAGCTGGGCTGAAGAGAGATGTAAGGCAAATATTGTTATATAGATGTTACAGGCATCCGTAACACCTACAGGAGCCCCTGCTCTGCCTACGCCTGCCCCCGCTCTGCTAGACTCCCCGCGCGGCGGTGCACCGCCCGCGCCTAGAAAGATAGCGGTCTGGACCGCTGTGACCCCGCCCCTGGCACTATGACCCGCCCCTGGCCTAGAAGGCCTTGTACCTGATCCATGGAGGCTGTACGCCTCATGGTCACCCTAGATCAGCGCATGCATACCGCATGTCGCTTCATGAAGATCCGGAGCGCTCTTGGCGCTTCCTGTACCTATGCGCAGCTGCCCTTGGCGCAGCATGCTTGATCAGAGGTTAAGCCTCATGTACTTTATCTGACCTCATGTCTTGTTATAATAGATCATAGATATACTATTGATTACAGACTGAGCTAGAATACTTGTAGTACTTCCCTATCAGTAGACAGGATTATTGTACTTAGACTTTACTTTAATCTACTAGGTTCATCCCAGAACTTGCTCAACTAAGCCTTACTAGCTTCCTTGTGTGAGACCGCACTTCTAAGCCGCTCCCATACGACTTAGCACGTATCCGCTAGCCCTGCATCTCGATGAGCGCCGCCTTACTGAGATCGCCGGAGGAACCCTTGACGTTCTGTCAAGCCAAGAACCACCCTCAGCTTCAGTGAACTCACTCGAGTCGTCACTGAGAAGACCTATCCTAGTTCGCACACACCGACCGACGGTCAGTGTAACAATAGATGGGTGGGCCAACAGGGGTGTATTACATATACGGGTGGGCCAGGGTAGGGGAATATTACATAAACAGGTGGGCTGACGTGGGGCATATTACATATACAGGTGGGCCGAGGGTGCAATAAAATATTTATTATATAGACAGGTGGGCCGAGGTGGTGGAATATCACATATACAGGTGGGCCGACATAAGGGATATTAATTAGACGGGTGGGCCGAGGGTGTGATAAAATATTTATTACATAGACAGGTGGGCCGAGGTGGGGTATAATTATATAGACGGGTGGGCCAACATAGGATGTATTACATAGACGGGTGGGCCGACGTGGGGGATATTACATAGATGGGTGGGCTGACGTGGGGGAATTGTACATAGATGGGTACATATATGGGTGAGCCTAGATATGTTTCATCAAGACATACAGCTGATGTAGCCGCCAGCGAATCAAACATGTAGGATACATGCACACTATGAGTGCATATACCTACCATCAACCACCGAAATCTAAACCTGTAAGCACGAAAACATGAATTGACCATGTGTGGCATTGACCAATAATTGAGTACTGAAGTGGGAAAACCCCACACCTGAACCCTGGTGTGCAATATATCCTATTTCTACACACAGACACCAGAAGCACAACACTCGCAAAAATATAAATGTCAAATTTTCACAGTGCTGAACCCCGAACCCTGAGATTTTACCAACTCCCGAACCCCAAAATTGTGGACTGCCGGGTCTCGGGGGTCGGGGGTCAGCACTCGGGACTTGGGAAATTTGGGGAGATCATTAAAATTTGATCTACAATAAATTTGATTTACAAACAAATTGATTTACAAACTTTTGAAAGATATCTGTGTCGTCTCACATATCGAGTCCTGAGTTCTGGGATCCCCGAGACCCAAGACCCGGCAGTCCACAATTTTGGGGTTCGGGGGTTGGTAAAATGTTTATGGATATATGAAAGGTTGATTCAAACATGTTTGAAAGATGTCTTTCATCTCAAAAATCGAGTCCCGTGTTCCGGGTAAGACATCTTTCAAACATGTTTGAATCAACCTTTTGTATATCCATAGACATTTTACCAACCCCCGAACCCCAAAATTGTGGACTGCCAGGTCTTGGGTTTTGGGGTTCGGGGGTCCCGGAACTCGGGACTCAATATGTGAGACGACACAGATCTTTCAAAAGTTTGTAAATCAATTTGTTTGTAAATCAAATTTATTGTAGATCAAATTTCATTGATCTCCCCAAATTTCCCAAGTCCCGAGTGCCGACCCCTGACCCCCGAGACCCGGCAGTTCACAATTTCGGGGTTCAGGGGTTGGTAAAATGTCTATAGATATACAAAACTCGGGACTTGACATTTGATATGAGACATCTTTCAAAAATGTTTAAATCAACCTTTCATATATCCATACACATTTTACCAACCCCCGAACCCTGAAATTGTGGACTGCTGGGTTTTGGGGTTCGGGGGTCTCGGAACTCGGAACTCGGTATGTAAGACAACAAAAATATCTTTCAGGGTTCGGGGGTTAGTGAAATGTTTATAGATATACGTAGGTTAATTCAAACATGTCTGAAAAATTTCGTTCATCTCAAATGTCAAATCCTGAGTTCCAGGTTTCAGGACTCGGCACCCAGCACTCGGGGTTCGGCACTGAAAATTTGACATTCGGGTGTTCAGGTTTCGGGTGATATCTAAATCACAACAGCTTTGAGTTCTGCCAAAGCGTGAAACTTGAAACCCAGTGTGCAACATGTTGATTTTTCATTTATATCACACAAATCATCGAATTCCGAGTGCCCAGTGCCGAGACCCGAAGCCCAAGACCCGAAAATATGTACACAACATGTCCATTTTTCACTCACTGCACAAATCACCGAGTTTCGAGTGCCAAAGCATGAAACTTGAAACCCAGTGTGCAACATGTTGATTTTTCATTTATATCACACAAATAACCAAGTGCCAAGTGCCAAGTGCCGAAGCCCGAGACCCGAAAATATGTATATAACATTTCCATTTTTCACTTGTTGCACAAATCACTGAGTTTCAAGTGCCGAAACCCGAAACTCGAAACCTGGTGTGCAACATGTTCATTGTTCATTTACATTACATAGATCATCGAGTTCCGAGTGCCGAGGGCCAAAACCCAAAGCCCGAGACCCGAAAATATGTACACAACATGTCCATTTTTCACTTACTGCACAAATCACCGAGTTTTGAGTGCCAAAGCATGAAACTTGAAACCCAGTGTGCAACATGTCCATTTTTTATGTACATTACACAATTCATTGAGTTCCGAGTGCCGAGGGCCGAGACCCGAAGCCCGAGACCCGAAAATATGTATGCAACATTTCCATTTTTCACTTGTTGCACAAATCACCGAGTTTCAAGTGCCGAAACCCGAAACTCGAAACCCGGTGTGCAACATGTTCATTGTTCATTTACATTACACAGATCATTGAGTGCCAAGGGCCGAATATTGAAACCCGAAGCCCGAAAACATGTATGCCACATGCCCATCTACTCATTGCACAAATCACCAAGTGTCGAGTGCCGAAACCTGAAACACAGTACTTCAAATGGACATGAATTCTGTCTTTGTATGTATTATCCATTGGTGTAGGGTTGAAATAACTTGGGAATTGTATTTGTCAGTGCTTGGTAGTTGGTAGTTGGTAGTTGGTAGTTGGTAGTTGGTAGTTGGTAGTTGGTGGTTGGTGGTTGGTGGTTGGTAGTCAATATAGGCAAATGATAATGAAAAATGAAAGTTGTTATTATGCTTAACTTCCTTACCGAAGGTTGTAGTCCGAGTCTAGGGGAGTGTATTGGTAGTCTTTTCTTGTCCATCAGTTATCATTTAACCAAGATATAAGCTAAAGAAATCTGAAACATTGGCGATAATGAAAAATGAAAGTTATTATTATGTTTAAGTTCCTGAACAAAAGTTGTAGGCCGAGCCAAGGTGAGTGTATTGGTAGTTTTTTCTTGTCAATTGGTTATCTCATTACTCGGTACTCGGTACAAGGGAATCAGTACTCGGTATTTGGTTCTGATACTCGATACCCGAGAATCAGTAGTCAGGTACTCGGTACTTGGTTCTAATTCTCGGTACCTGGGAATCAATAGTTGGGTACTCCAGCCAATAGTCCCGAGTCCCGAGTACTGATACTTGGTATTCGGTAGTCAGGTTTGGAACTTGGGTCTTGGTTTGGTTATCATTTGACTGAGATATTGGTAGGCAATATTGGCACTCGGAGTTCGAATACTGACTATCAACTATCAAGTGTCAGGACTTGGTAATTGGTAGTTGAGACTTGGTGCTTAAATGGATATTGCATATATACATAAAAATACAAAATATGTTCCTATGTGTTCATTTCTAGGTGAATAGACTTTGAAATTATATCTCAATCATCTATTCAACAATAGAAACAATGTATCAGGAGCTCAGGACCATAGGGTAATCCTTTATTGTATAGTGTACCTCCCCCTCTTCTGGTGGTTCACCCGCTGGGGTTTTTTCCCTGTAGGACTGGACCTCAAGGACTGTAGGGAGTCTATTCCTGAGCATATTCGGAGTAGATATATCATATAACCAGCCCAGGACACACAGGATCCTTCTCCAGGAATAAAGCATAGACAATTGCACTTTTGACATTTTTTCATGATTTTCAGTATCTTGCCCTTGCATCCATGATCCAACCTTTTAATATATAATGAGCATAGCTTATATTCTTGCTTCTTATGACCAAGATCAGCTCACAATAGGCTGGAGTTTGTGAGCTAGTGTGTATACTTGCCATTTTGCCTGATAAGGGGCCCATGCCTTCAAAACATTGAATCTTCGTAATCAGAAACCTGGGGTACATTTCAAATATCTTAAGTATCATAGACATAAATTTACAGACAAATCAACCAAGAATTGAGTACTGAGGAAGTGAAATGGGTAAGAAATTGAGTGTGGGAAACTTCAAAGACCCAAAGCATCGAAAATGGTTAGTTGAGCAGTGGTAGGACTTTAATGCTGGGTCAACTCATATTTTCACTATATCCCTTCTACCCACCCCCTACCCTCAGGGCAGTAGGCAGTATGGGTTCCTTGGGTAGTTTACGATCTATCCTACATATTTGTAATGATATTTTCGGCCTGAATCATATATAAATGTGACTTTGTATAAAAGATGTCTATTGTCACTCTCCACACATATGTCATTTTGCCTATCATTACATCAATCCTTCATGAATCTTTCTAGGCTTTTAAGCTATTATAATGGATGTATATGGGTGTTATTCCAGGTCTCTCATCACATCACAGGCTTGTTATGTTGGATATCTCGACATAATGTGCAAGTCTCGCTATTAATATTCATTCTTTTATCTTTACACTCACTTACTGCACACATGTATTTCATTTGTCATTATTGATGTTTCGGATTTCTTTAGCTTATATCTCGGTCACATGGTAACCAATGGATGAGAAAAGACTACAAATAAACTCACCTAGACTCGGACTACAACCTTCATTAAGCTGACTACTGATTCCCAGGTACCGAGTATCAAAACCAAATACTGAGTACCAATTACCATGTACCAAGTACTGCATAATGAGTAACAAGATAACTAATTGACAAGAAAAGACTACCACTACACTCACCTGGACTTGGACTACAACCTTCGGTAAGGAAGTTAAGCATAATAACAACTTTCATTTTTTCATTATTGCTGATGTTTTGCCGAATGACAAGGAAAGACTACCAAGACACTCACCTTGACGTGGACTACAACTGTCATTTTTCATTATCATTTGCCTATATTGACTACTGAGTCTCGAGTACCAATCACTGACCACCGATCACCGAGTACCAAGTACTGAGTACTGACAAATACAATTACCAAGTTATTTGAACCCTACACCAATGGATAATACATACAAATACAATTCGTATCCATGTGAAGTACTGGGTTTCAGGTTTCGACACTCGACACTTGGTGATTTGTGCAACAAGTGAAAAATGGACATGTTGTGTACATGATTTTGGGTTTCGGGCTTCGGGTCTCGGCCCTCGGCACTTGGAACTTGATGATCCGTGTAATGTAAATGAAAAATGGACATGTTGCACACTGGGGATTGAGTTTCTGGTTTTGGCACTCGAAACTTGGTGATTTGTGCAGTGAGTGAAAAATGAACATGTTGTGCACATATTTTCGGGGTTCGGGTTTTGGCCCTCGGAACTCGGAACTTGATGACTTGTGTAATATAATTGAACAATGGACATGTTGCATACCCGGTTTTGAGTTTCAGGTTTCGGCACTTGAAACTCGGTGATTTGTGCAACAAGTGAAAAATGGAAATGTTGCATACATATTTTCGGGTCTCGGGCTTCGGGTCTCGGCCCCTGGCACTTGGAACTCGATGATTTGTGTAATATAAATGAAAAATGGACATGTTGCATGCCGGGTTTTGAGTTTCAGGTTTTGGCACTCGAAACTTGGTGATTTGTGCAGTGAGTGAAAAATGGACATGTTGCGCACATATTTTCGGGGTTCGGGGTTTGGATTTTGGCTCTCGGAACTCGGAACTCGATGACTTGTGTAATATAATTGAACAATGGACATGATGCACACTGGGTTTCGAGTTTCAGGTTTCAGCACTCGAAACTCGGTGATATGTGCAATGAGTAAGAAATGGACATGTTCCATACATATTTTTGGGTTTTGGGCTTCGGGTTTCAGCACTCAGCACTCGGAACTTGATGATCTGTGTAATGTAAATGAACAATTGACGTGTTGCACACTGGGTTTCGAGTTTTGGGTTTTGGCACTTGAAACTCGGTGATTTGTGCAGTGAGTGAAAAATGGACATGTTGAACAATGGGTTTCAGGGTCTCGGGTTTGAAAAATAGCATAATAACAACTTTCATGTTTTCATTATCATTTGCCTATATTGACTACCGAGTCCGATAAGGGACCCCTTGGATGATCCATTGCTCAATGAAATACTACACGATTGGAAATGTGCTGGTTATCAGATATTCATTTGTCAACTCCCGGGTCCCGGAACTCGGAAGTCAGGTATGGTTGACCCAAATTTGGGTGGTTGGAACTTGGCATCTCATAGGGCAACACAAGCTTCGCACCCCGGATTCTAAATTCTGCAAGACAACCTGTGCACCATCAAAGGCCATGTCAGGAGATCATCTGCTGCTCCGGGAACTCTGTAACTTTGATTTATTACCTCCTCTGAGTACAGTTGACCCAAAGGTTGATAATCGGAACTTGGCTTCTCGTAGGGCAACACAAGCTTCGCACCCTGGATTCCAAATTTTGCAAGACAACCTGTGCACCATCAAAGGCCATGTCAGGAGATCACCTGCTGCTCCAGGAACTTGGTAACTTTGATTTATTACCTCCTCTGATTTGGTTGATGTACAACTACCTCAGCTCCATCATGTCTACAATTATGATACACATGGGCCCACCCATCTATATTTTATACCACCCTCGGCCCACCCGTCTAATACAACATCCCATACAACACCCTCAGCCCACCCATCTAATACAATATTTTATAATACCCTCGGCCCACCCATCTAATTTAATATGTGTCTGGGCCCACCTGTGAATGTGATAACAAGTACCTACCCATCTATCTCATACACATCTACCTTAATACACTCATCTGCATAATATCCAACTACCTCGGCCCACCCATCTACCTAATATTCATGTACATCGGCCCACTCATCTACTCTATATATTCCCTGCATGGGCCCACCCAGCCTCCATCGGGAATAATTTGCCTCCCGGCCCATCCGTCATAGTCGAGGATATTTTTATCATGGGCCCATGGTCTGCTGGCCCGTATCATATGGGATATTATGCACGTCCGTTCCCTCGTATTATACGGAGATAGGTCACTGTAATATGTGCATTGTCAGGTATTGAACATTGAAATTCTTCTGTGTTCTTGAGGGCCTTCTTGCTATTGCTGTAGTAGAATTCAAGGCAGCTATCCTTGAGAGCTTGCGAGACAAAATTCTTTTATCTGCCCTATAAAACCAATAGTGAGTGACCACCTTGGGAGGAGTAAATGAGCAACAATACATCAGATGAATCAGGACTACTGAAGATAATTGTTGGTTTTCAGTAGCTTAGTGGCGTTTGCAGTGACACATTTTTGCATCTCTTCCTTGCGTGCCATGGCGCCCTTTGGGAAGATGCCATAGTATGTTTTTGTGATGGATACGACGACTTTCTTCAACTCTGTGCAGAATGTAAATAAATCATCACAGAGCTGATGGTGAAAATATAAGCACATTGTTTGTCCATTAACAATATTCTTACCAGCCGCACCATTTGTGTCTGGTACTGCGGAAAATAGCCTAAAAACAATGAGATTTGTGAAGGGGTAAGTCGATGTGAGAAATCTACTTACCATTATCCAATTTGATCTTTTTCTCATGATATATCCACAATTCAGTGTCAATGACTTCATGGGCGAGTTGTAGTGCGTCTCGATGCTCTGGAACAGGATGCATTAGAATGGCCTGTAGACACATCTCTAACTTTGCTGCCTGTAAAAATGTTTGCCAAGCGGGTGGGTAGAAGCCAAGCTTTGTGGGGTCCTCTTGAGCTGTCCTGGTCTTTCGTTGATTTCTGTACAAATCAGGTTTGTCAGGTGTAGCACTGCGAGAGCGCGAATGAGTGGGTGATCTTGCATGATCTGACCGATAAGCGGGCTTTGGCAGAGAGCGTTTTTGAGAGGAGACCTTGGAAGAAGTGCTTGGTCGAGATGGAGAGTGCCGACGAGGAGACTGCATGCGGGAGGAAGGATACTTAGATGCATGTCTGCTGAGGTGATGCAGGATGCTGAGCTGGAGACCTTGACCGTATGAGAGGAGAATGCATGCGAGGGGAAGGACACTTAGATGAGTGTCTGCGAGGCAATGCAGAACACCAAACAGGAGACCTTGACCGAGAATGCACACGGGAGGAAATATGCTTAGATGAGTGTCTGTGAGGCGATGCAGAATGCCGAACTGGAGACCTTGAGCAGTATAGAAATAATATGCAACAAGCACTCACATTTGGAATGCCACACTGGAGCAGAAGACCCAGACACCACACATTGAAGTGAGGGTCGATGAGGAGACTTGGAGTGTATTAAGACTGTGCACAAAGGGTAGGACTGATTCCAAAGGGCTTGGCTTCAGCTCGTGCACTGCGCCCCTTACCCGAGTATGTGCCCTTAAGATGAATGTGAGAAACTTCCGGAGGGGTGCGGGAAAGTTCCGGAGGAACTTCCGGAAATTACTATGAGGTTTTGTCCTGGTACAGATATCTGTAATGGCTACTCAGGATGAATCCTGAGTAGAATGGATACAGAGGAAAGGCTGCAGGGACAAAGTCCAAAGCAGAATAGGTCTGGAGGAACTTCCGGAAACTCGGAGGAATGGAGGAGCAGAGGATCAGAGGATCAGAGGATCAGAGGATAGGAGTGGAGGAGTGGAGCTCCGGCCTAGGGAATTCCTCCCTAGGCCTGAGATGGATATTGACTAAGTCGGAGGACTAGAACTAGTATGAGGACTTAGTGTGAGGTCTAGTGCGAGGACTAATATGTGCAATATTCAGACTAAGGAAATACAGGAGTTTCTACAGGGTTTATATACTACGGAGGACATAACAGAGAAATCAGTCAGCACAGTCCGAAGCTATGTGAGGCTGTGGACGGAGTGTATAGAAAAGTCAAACACTAGTCTATCGTAAAATAGTAAATGAAGATGGAAATGAGAACATAGGAAAATAAAGGCGGAAATGAAATGAGGTACAGAAAATGAGTATAGACTAACTGGAGAAGGAACATACAAAGGGAAAAGGCACGGAAGATAGATGCGGGTCGGATCCGGATGTCCAGAAACAGGTGATTACCATAAGGGGATGAGCGCTGATTTAAGGTTTGGGTTTGGATATGAAGCATAGGTCGGATCCGGAGATGTGTGGATATGCAAAGGTACAGGGATCCGGGTGTATGGGCATCTGGACAGATAAAGGAAATGGACAGGGGGTCCGGATGAGGCGTGGGAACATTGTCGGATGTAGGTCCGGAATATGGGATATGACAGAGTGGCCAGAAGCATGTCTTTGTTCAACAAGTTTTGCTTTCATTAGAAAACTTGGTGAAGGAGCCTTACATCGTCCATTCTTCGCTTGATGACGCTCGAGCACATCAAAAACTTCCTAAAGAAAATGTAATGAGGTGAATATATAAGACAAAATTCGAAACACTTTCCTCTGTTTTGTCCCTGGCTTCATCTTTAGAATCGTCATCAAAGTCTTTCTCTTGAGTGTCAGGCTGGTGGTTAAAATCCTCATCATTATCTAGATTATCATCATCCAGATTAGCATCGTCAAGATTAGCGTCATCGAGATCAAGATCATCCTGAGTTCCATTCTCATGCTTGTCACCTGAATTCCCTTCATGCTGGCCAAACACCGTGATATTGCCTGTGTCCTGTTAAGCCCCATCCCTGCAGCGGGCACACGTGAAAACAGACAGATGAGATGGTAGTGGGAGACATACATTTGTTTGTCGTCATCGTCGTCAATTCTGCCCTGATCCTTGTCATCGTCACTGGTATCAGACTCTGCCGCTTTACCTCTGGCCTCCTTGAGAGTACGATTGCTGGACTGTGTCGCCTTCTGGATGCTCTGACTGCTAGTGGATGTGGGCTTCCAAAACCCAAACCTGTCTGAAGAGTACATTTTGTGTGGGACTGGTCGAAGAGATGCGCCGGAGTGCTGGGCTTCTGGATTGGCTTTATTGTTAGCTCCAACAGAACACTGAGTCTTAGTAGTAGCCTGGAAGAAGGTTAGCTTGCAACAGTTCATACTGGAACTTTGACTATGCACCATTGCATTTTTCTTTGATTTCCGGAGCTAGGAAGGAGCCATGGGATTTTCTTCTGCATCACTGATGTCAAGAGTGGTCTCTTTCCGAGTTTTCCTCGATGGAGCTGCTAAAGTTTTGCCAGTTTTTTGCAGCTGTGCTGTGTGCCCACCTTGGCCTCAAGTAGATCTTGCACTATGTTGAGTAGCCTCATTGACGTCATATGAACGCCTGGCCTTCTTCCTCGGTGGCATTGAGCAACTTGAAGGCAGGAAAAATTGAGGCTTGGTTGAACTTTCCTGTCGCTTCCCATTAGTACTAGTTGTCGAGTGGTATCACATAAGCCGATATTTGTAAACTAGCACAAGCACTGCATAAAACTACACAGCTCCAAATGTAATAAGCATGAGGGGTACAACGAGTTGACAACAACATATAACAAAAAACTTCAGGATTGTCACAAGGGCAAGCAGATTCATAATTGTGAGGATGAGAATTGTGAGAATAAAATACTAGTAATGTTGAGAGTCCATAATGCCTCAAAGCACCAGCAATCACGAAGAGCATTGCAGGACATGCACCAAAATAAAGCTCGGGATGCCTTCTCAGGACAGTTTTGTCCTTTGGTGTTTCTTTTGTTTGAGACGACAAGGCGACAAAGGTTCGGAAGGCCCTGCTGAGCATATCGGAGGATGAAGGGCCAATGATGTAATAAGACAAGTGGAACGACGGGGTAAAGGCTCAGATGGCCCTGCCAGGGGAGGAGGGTGACCTGTGCGAGGATGAGGATTCTGGGATACTGTTATGGAAGAACGAGGACTTTGGGGCCTTCCTGAGAATGGCTGTTCTGTATCAAGAGATTGCATATACTTATCAAGTACGTCGAGGACTCCAGCATGAGTCATCTCCACCTGATTTTTGGGTCCATTCGCACAGTAAACTATGGAGCCCCATTCCTGGACGATGGGTCTGAATTCTGCAAAGTATTCTGATGTTCTAGCGACGAAGAATCTACCCTGCATCAAGACCCCCATCTTGGCGAAACAAATCGTACTCAAAGCTAGATGGGTATCAGCCTTGCCCAAAGCCTCATAGGCACTCACCCATGGCAGAGCTTGCTGAGACCACATAGGTGCCAATTGACCATGTGGCCCACCATACTTGGCAATGAATTCGAAAAATATATAAAATAGCGACTCGAGGTCATCGCTAGGCTGGTGTTCAATGAGTTCCGTGTCAGTGTTAATGTCCTGGCTGTCCTCGATGCTGTTCATATGGTTCAAATGAACATCCTGGTCTGTGACGTCGGTATTGACCCCATGCGGGACTAAATCAAGCATAGCCTGAAGAATATGGATCAAAATGTAGGGCATGGTTCCCTGAAAGAATGAGATCAAGAGCTGCTAACTAGATTGTATACCAAAATTTACTGTACCATGTGAATAAGTACTACTTGTGCCTTCCACAAGGATTGAGGCATGATCAAAGTCGATAAAGTAGCCAATACCTTCATGAATAATGAAGTTGTTGGGACTGAGGTCCCCGTGTAAGACTCGGTTCTCAATCATCATGCGATGAGCTGAAAATAATTAGTCAGTGCAAACAAGCTCAACATGAAGACTCACCAACTACAAAGGCATGAAAGGCGGTGAGCAGCTCCCGTCTAGAGCTGAATTTAGAGAGTGGTTGTCTGCAGGGAGACAAGAGAATACGACGATGGAACCTGTTGCAGAACAACAAGTCGTCCCGATTGTGTGGGTGATATTGACTGTGAATACACGCTGTGCAGTCAGGCTCCCCATCATAATACACATCCCAATGGTCCACAAGTTGGACAACATTGGGGATACCCTTGATCATCTCCAGGATGGTGGCTTCATGCATCCTCTTCTCCTCTGTCACCCAACAGTCTTTTAAAGCATACTCCTTTCCACCCTTATCAGTCATGCAATAACAAACCATCCCATGACAGAAGAGCCCATGGCTCTTCCACAGAACCTCCATGATAGAATAGGTATTGTTGCAATTGTCGTTCACCCAGCCCTTCACCCCATCTGCTAGATTTGAATGTGTCCCTATGAATGCAGCGTGACACATGTGGATGGTTGGATCGAAACCCATATGATGACTATCTGATAGTGTGAGGGTACCTAACATCTCCGTGAGTCTGTGAAGCTGATTTGCACAAATCGAAAAGCCAACGACAAATCAACGCCACGGTTGTTCTCTCATAATAAGGTAGGCTTTAATCATAGAGCCCCAGAACACTGGTATGTCTCGCTTTTTGGCAAGATCACTGGAGGTGTGCTCCACAAAGGATAGGACGTCTGCCCATGTTTTCTTTGTGTCCTTCAGTGCGAAGTCAAACAGGGCTATATAGGGCTTCTGGCAATTGTATTTGTCAGGTATTGGAGAGGTGGTGAACTCTGCAGACCAGTACTGAGATCCCCTGGAGTCTGGGATGTTGAACGGGAGGTGAGTTTTCAATTTGTGGCATAGATGATACTGGATGGTATAGAAGAGGCGTTGAAATTCTTTTTCAGTTGTAACATGCTCCTACCTGCATCTTTTCTTCGATCCTGGCTGATACTCTTGGGAGCCCCATGTTTCTTGTTTGGATTGGCCAGGGACCACGGATTCAAGAGAAGCCCCCATCAATGTACTAGCATCCTCGACCTCTGTTTCAGCAACTTCTGTATGATCATCCTCTGTACGATCATCCTCTGCACTGTTGTCCTCTTATTCAATAACAGGTGTTGTGCCACGAGTACGCTTGGCTTGTTTCCTCCTCACATTTTACTTAGAGAAATCGTTCTCAGTAGCAATCCCCTCCGGCTGAATCTATACTCGCGTCCAGAGGTCTACCCCACTTCACCCTTTCTCCCCCTTTCTCCCCTTCTCACTTAGCTATCATTCCTCACACACAGCGGGTGTACTTTCTTGACCCAAGAGGATTGCTATGAAGCACTTCCTTCAAGTAGAATGCAAAGGGAGCAAAGGTGGAACAGAAAGAAACTAAGGCGATCTTGGAAAAGTGAGTCCACCGATAAGAGCAAAAGCGAGACTGCAGGTCCGGTGAGTGCGCGATGCAAAACAAATGAAAGAAAGAGGATCCTAGGTAAAGAGCAGCAGGTTCTAGGTAAAGCACAGTTCCGCAAGTAGCGGCTAGGTGTAGATGAGGTTTATGGCTGAGGTATAACTAGGTATGAAGTGCTAAGTCGGAAACTGAGAGCAGTTCGGATCCACGCAGAGTGTTAAGACCATGCACAAAGGGTAGGACTGATTCTGAAGGGCTTGGCTTCAGCTCGTGCGCTGCGCCCCTTACCCGAGTATGTGCCCTTAATTGCAGATGACATCCGGAGGAAGTCCAGGGAAGTCCATAGGACTTCCGAAGGAGCGCGGGAAAGTACGGAAGGACTATCCGGATCCGGATGAGTGTGAGAAACTTCCGGAGGGGTGCAGGAAAGTTCCGGAGGAACTTCTGGAAATTACTATGAGGTTTTGTCCTGGTACAGATATCTGTAATGGCTACTCAGGATGAATCCTGAGTAGAATGGATACAGAGGAAAGGCTGCAGGGACAAAGTCCAAAGCAGAATAGGTCCGGAGGAATGGAGGAGCAGAGGATCAGAGGATCAGAGGAGCGGAGGAGCGGAGGAGCGGAGGAGCGGAGGAGCGGAGGAGCGGAGGAGCGGAGCTCCGGCCTAGGGAATTCCTCCCTAGGCCTGAGATGGATATTGACTAAGTCGGAGGACTAGAACTAGTATGAGGACTTAGTGTGAGGTCTAGTGCGAGGACTAATATGTGCAATATTCAGACTAAGGAAATACAGGAGTTTCTACAGGGTTTATATACTATGGAGGACATAATGGAGACTCAGTCAGTGCAGTCCGAAGCTATGCGAGGCTGTGGACAGAGGATGTAGAAAAGTCAAACACTAGTCTATCGGAAAATAGTAAATGAAGACGGAAATGAGAACATAGGAAAATAAAGGCGGAAATGAAATGAGGTACAGAAAATGAGTATAGACTAACTGGAGAAGGAACATACAAAGGGAAAAGGCACGGAAGATAGACGCGGGTCGGATCCGGATGTCCAGAAACAGGTGATTACCATAAGGGGATGAGCGCTGATTTAAGGTTTGGGTTTGGATATGAAGCATAGGTCGGATCCGGAGATCCTGGCAAGTGGATATCAGATTTGAGTGTCCGGGTTTCGGATCTGGATGTGTGGATATGCAAAGGTACAGGGATCCAGGTGTATAGGCATCTGGACAGATAAAGGACATGGACAGGGGGTCCGGAGGTCCGGATGAGGCGTGGGAACATTGTCGGATGTAGGTCCGGAATACAGGATATGACACAGAGCCTAGGTAAAGAAAACTCAGAGGCATGTTCTTGGAGCAGTCAAGAACACACGGGTTCAGAGTGAGGATGAACAAAACTTGTTAATTTGAACAAAGTACTAAGAATGTCTAAGGTGACTCTGCAAAACAAAGGTAGCATCTGAGGGAAAGGAAGTATCGTACTGTATGTAGTGTGTGAGGTTTTATCCTACTGCAAAGCATCTGGAACCTGTAGGCAAGAACTGTAGCGATGAAAATGAGGCTGATAAGTAATATGTAATGAGGCTACGCGCAGAATGGAATATGCAGATACATGTAATAAGCCTTGCTATTATTTAGTCAAACCGAGAGAGAAAATGAACATGTACCAGCGGAAATAGGTGGACATGGAAAGGACATGGACGGACAGCATGAGATGAGAATGCAAAGTGTGCAGAGCGGATACAAGCACAGGAATATGCCAGGTAGTGTCGGCCAAGAGATCCTTGCCATTGGTAATACTAGGAGATGAGACAGAATCTATATCTTTCCATACCTCTTGACACCAATATCAAAAGACACACTTTGCAGCCCAGGGAGGATGCAAGTGTCATACCATATCTAGCCTTAACTCCTTATGCAAATCAAAAATGGAGCTGTTCAACTCTGGTGCTTCCAGGCACATGTCCTCCTATCAAGATCTGTTCAAATGTTTTGTTAGTATAACACCAAAGCCCATTACCAGAGCAGACAGATACACCTTTGAGGCCATAGGAAAGCAAAACATTCAAATCACTCTACCAAATAGTCAGTCTCAACCTAGGATACTGCTAAAAGACGTGCTGTATGCACTGAAGTGAAGGAAAGTCAAGCTCTAGAGGTCAAGTTGGCAAGACTACAGGCATGGGAACAATAATTCTGGCAGGCTTACTCTCTCATACCATAGTACAGGCAGCTGCTCCAAATGACAAGAGAGGTACTAACATGCAAGTGCAACTAGACATGAAGCAGTAATTCTATGAACTGGATAAGGACTATACATGTGGTGGATTGGCTACTTATATGTGTATGGCTACTGCACATGGGCTACACATGGACCATGCTACCTAAATAGGCAGGCAGACAATTCTACTCCAACATGAAGATGGGACTAACATTGGTGTCAATTAGCTGGCTGTCAAGTGCTGGATATGTGGTACTGTTCTGTGAAAACTTGTGCAAGATCTTTGATGCAAAGAAGAAGCTATTGGGAGAAATTCCAGTTAATAAAGGGTTGTACTGTATAAAAGGCCCCAAAAGACCATTCATGGGAGCAGCAAAGGCAAACAAAGTACTCACCATGTGTGATGCCCATGCTAGACTAGGTCACATTGCTCCAGACAGCATCAAATGAATGCTAAAAGATGGTGTCATTACCGGAATAATGTTGGACCCCACAGACTCCACCATGGATAAGTGCAACTCATAGGGAGTAAGCCCCCACATATAGGGCTATGTCTGACATAGGGTCACAGACCCCAAAGGACAAAAAATTAGATTTAAAAAAAAAATGTAACTCATGTGAGTATACAAAAGCCACCTGTAAAGTGATCAGAAAGACATGAGCACTTCAGTGACAAAGTGTACACAGACTTGTGGGAACCATACCCAGTGAAAACACCTGGACAAAAGGAATATTTTGCATCATTTACAGGTGACCATACCAGATTTACTTATCTCTATTTGCTGCAAACAAAAGATGAAACATTCAGCACATACCAAAAGTTTGAAGCTTGGAAAAACATGCAGTTTGATGCCAAGATTAAATGACTTCATTCAGATCATGGGGGAGAGTACACTGGAGAAGTGTTCACTCATTATTTGCATAGCAAGGGAACATAACACAAGCTTACCATACACGACATGCCAGAACACAATGGAGTCACAGAGCAACTCAATTGCACCATTATCAAGAGAACACATGTATTGTTGCACACCAGTGGGTTGCCGAAGTTCCTGTGAGGGGAAGCCATTAAAAAGAAGCCTAACCTCAAAAACTTACCAGTTTGGGGGTGCAATATTAAGGTCCACTCAACAAACAGCTCAAAGCTTGACATGCAAGAAATAGATGAAAGATAGATGGGGTTTGACCATGATAGTAATGGCCACTGGTGTAGCATTTGGCCTTGCACTAGAGCTTGTATTCTGCTATTTTCCAATGTATGTTAAATACCCATCACTCATGAATCACTTTCTGATGTTATCTGACACTTACCCATTCAATCTGATGTTTACCCACTAACCTGATGCTAACCTGATGCAACCCGATGCTAACCCGATGAAACCCAATGTTTAGACTGACTTGGCTGATGAAATTCCATGCACATGTCCTCCCTATGTCATGTCCTGTTATATCTATCCCTTCTAGGTGTGTAGTTACTTGTTTTCATGTCACTAACATTGTAGACTGTATTATTACATGTCTTATTACATAGGACATCAGACCCAAAAATTATCACTACTACTTTCACCTATTACTGGGTGCGGGATCTATCTTTTCCGCCGGAAAAACATTAAACTTTGTGAAAGAAAAGGTCAAAATTTATCTTGTATTTAATCTGTCTAAAAATGATAAAACATGATCATAATGTTCTTCTAAATTTCTAATGGAACAAACTGCAAACAAATTAAAATTTGGTGGTTTAAATTTCTTCATGATATATCAGGTGACAATTTTAGAATAATGTTCACCTTTGTTACTGAACAAAATACTATACAAATTAGAAGCAACATGGGGTATGATTTGTTTTGAGAAAGTTTATCAGAAAAGTTGAATGGAGAAATCAAAACTTTTATTATTATTTATTTCATGGAAAAAGCAGACAAAATCAGGACCACAGAACTATTTAAATTTTTCCTAACATTGTTGGACAAAAAAATCAAAACAAGATTGTGACCTTCTGTCACGATGAATATCATGTTTTATCAATGGCGATACAGGGAACAAATTGGGAGCCAAATTTCTACATTTGTCTCAAATTTAGACATGAGAAAAACAAAAAAGAAATTGAACAGAACAAATTATGAACTTGGTTTCTGATATGTCCAGAGTTTGTTTGCAATACAAAATAAGGAAAAATTGAAACAAATATTAGGAATAGAGGGTGTGTAAATGATGAATGGTCAGAGTCCTGATCCTGATCATGGTTCAGAAACAGAACAAAATAGCTTGAAAAATGCATGTAGTCTTCAGATGACTCTTGTAGACATCTTCGAGGCTCTTTAAATCAGCAACACTTACCTCTTTTCTAAACTTCTACTGAGCTGTGCATTGCTAAGGCAGTCCAGTATGTCATCTTGGAAATCATGTATTCAGTACTAAATCACTCATGCAGTTCCTGATTTACAGACTCAAGGCCCCTAACCCCACAACACTGTGCCTGCTAAGGTGGTTGATATGTAACAGTGCATGCACTTGCGCTCATCTGATCCAACACCTAAGATCAGCATTGCAGAGGGTAAGTCATTGGTTCATGTAGAATATTCTAAACTAAATAGTGTGCAGGGATGAATCTTATACTAGCTGATACTTGCCAATCACATTTCATAATCCAATCATACCCTCACAATGCATGCCAATCCCCTTACCACTTATGAATAATCTTGGCCGCCATCTACAATTACATATACATACATGACCAACCCACATATTTACATGAGGGAGCTTGTAATAATCAATGGAGATGGAGATGGAGATGCATTGGCAATGTGCAAGGTAAGCTATCACATTATTGAAAAACTATAAACTGACAAAGTGTGCAGGGATGCATCTTAGACAAGCTTATCCTGATACCAACACCAATCCCATCTCTGATCATACCATCACAAATTAAGCCAAAAATGTATACAAGACTATTGGCATCAGGATGTACCCAGTGAATACATGCTGAAATTGTGACAATGTTGCATAAAACTTACTACCTCACAGTTCTGAGCATTTTATGCTTCATAGACGTCTGCATTGATCTCGAAACATCTCAAAAGCTAATATGTGGGAAGCGGTTGTGCACTATGTGTCTGGCACATGCTCAGGTTCATCTTTGTCAGGTTCTTCAATATATTTGTCAGCTAAATGGTCAAGAGTTGATTACTGTTGATTCTTTTATAATGCTCTTATTGCAAAAGATACAGACTCCTGCTGGGGCTCTTAACTTCAAGACCTGTTTATCTAATAATTTCTCTAAAAAGTGCTGATGGCAGACCCCCATAGTGGGCCCATGAGTGAAAACTGACATAATCTGTATAATGATGTGTATTTTGCATTAACTTGTGATTCATTATGTTCCACCATTTTGGATTTCATAGAATAAAAACATTGTTATTGGCAGGTTTCAAATCTGCACAGTTGAAGAGAAACTGATTTTAAATCTGATGACAACTTGACCAAGACCAATGAAGATCAATGTCTGAGATGCTGTCTATGAGCAAATATTCAAGACACATATTCTTAGAGAAAAAATGAGACATTCAACAAGTTTCAAACCTGTTGCACTCTGATGAAAACAGATTTTGATTCTGTTATGACAGCCACTTAGCTAAACATGATTGTGATCAGCTTGCAAGCAAACCGACCATGAGCAGATTTCAAGGTGTGTTTTTATAGAAAATGAATTTTATTATTGGCATGTTTCAAACCTGCACAGTCCAAGAGAAACAGATTTTCACTCTAATGATCACTTGGAAAATTTATCTTTAGCAGGTTTTGAACCCACACACACAGATTTAGATTCTGTTGTACTAGCTGCTTGGCTAAGACCAGTTGGATGCACTTTCAATAAATTCATTCAGAAGTGAATCCTTAAGGCACATTTATCTGTTAGGTTCCCTTCCCAAGCAAGTTGTAGTGCTGTCAGTGAATTGAGGTGTGCCCATTTGTATTTGCTTGCACTTGGACCTCTGAAAATCTATACACTGCAAAAAAATTATGAGCAGGCTTGAAAGAAACAGATTTTGATTCTGTTGCAACATTAATAGGTTTCAAATCTGCACAGTCTAAGAGGGACAGATTTTGACTAAGACCAATTAAGATTGGTGTGAGATACTGTTTATGAGCAAATATTCAAGGCATGTTCTGATAGAAAAAATGTGACATTCAATGGGTTTCAAACCTAAGTGCATGAATTCACTGGATGCTCAGCTTTCATATTTTTGTACTGATGTCAGGAAATGTTGGGGTGCGGATACAGGGAAAGGTCCATACCACTTTGGAGCAAGCTTCCGAGAGGGGAGTTTTAGTCAGAAATTGGTCGATGATAGCCATATCTTATTGCCTATTTTCCAGGGCTGATATTTCAAACCAAGGAATCTTTCTGTCATTCGCTGCATAGCAATATTGTGGCAGGCGATTGCTTCTTCTTTTATCTTCTGGAGGAGTTGGACCCTTTCTTCTGCAGCAGGTACCTTTGAGTCGGCAAAGATGTGGGGAATGGCTTTAGGTTTGTATCCCATCATGATAAAGAAGGAGGAAGCATTTCAGGCGTCACATTCAGAAGTGAATCTGCAAGGCAAGTCTACAGTTCCCTGTCACTCGCAATGTTTTCCCTCAGCTAAACAGATGAATTAAATACAGACTGCAATACAGCACTTTCAAAAAGCGAGAGGAGAGCAACATGATGATGAAAGGTCTCAAATACAGTTCACTTCAACCTTATACATAAGTGAATAATGGCTGGATGGCTCTTTTGAATCTCAGTCTTGACAGATGTATGTTCTTCCTCATTCCCAAAGTCATTAGGATCAAACTTGAAAATTTGATGTGTAATCTGCTCTTCTTCTTCAACCAAGTCAAGACCTTTGGAGAGAATTAAATTGCTTTTGTACTTATCATTCCAAGTTTGCATCAAAGATACTTACATTTGCCTCTGGTAATTTTTTAGGAGAAAAAGCAGAATAAAAGAATCAACAGTGACCATGCTATTGAAAGAACTGACAAAATGCAGATAAAATGTGCCTTGAGGATTCACTTCTGAATGAGTTCATTGGAAGTGAATCTCACTGGTCTTAGCCAAGCAGTTGATACAACAGAATCTAAATCTGTCTGTGTGGGTTCAAAACCTACTAAAGTTGCAAAGTGATTATCAGAGTCAAAATCTGTTTGTCCTGGACTGTGTGGGTTTAAAACCTATCAATGATATATATTCATTTTCTATGAAAATGCACCTTGACACATACTCATGGTCAGTTTGCTTATTAAAAAGCTCCTCAAAGTTGTATTTAGCCAAGTGGTTGTCATAATAGAATCAAAATCTGTTTCCATTGGAATGCAACCTGTTGAATGTTGCTATTTTTTTCTATTAGAACATTCCTTGAATCATTGCTTATAGACAGTATCTCAGACACTCATTTTCATTGGTC